GGAGGAGAAGATCGGCAGTGTGAGTGCACGCGGGGGGTGGGATGCCCCGCTGAAGTCGCACTCCTTTTGCACATGCAGATCGGAAATGCGTGCGGAACGATAGGTCTGCTGCACGCCATCAGCAATACGCAAGCGGTCCAAGCTATCAGCACCGACTCTCCTCTTCACAAACTCTTGCAATCCGCTCGACCCCTCTCTCCTCACGCCCGCGCCGAGCTGCTTCAATCCTCTCGCGAACTAGCCACCGCGCACTCTGCAGCAGCTTCGTCCGGTCAATCCGCAGCTCCCGCCATCGAAGATGCCGTGGATCTGCACTTTGTCGCTTTTGTGAGGGATGCGGGTGGGGAATTGGCAGAGTTTGATGGGAGGAGAAAAGGAGTGGTTAGGAGAGGTGTAGGGGTGGAAAAGCAGCAAGATTTGCTCCAACAGGCTGCCCATTGGATCAAGGAGAATTATGTGAGCAAGATGCGAGGCAGCGGGCCTCGTCCGATGCCCGTCTTTTCTTTTCTTTTCCGCATCGACATTTGCGCGTCGAGTGTTTTTGGGATGCTCATCTCGTTTCCCCCTTTCAACCCCACGCGCACTTTTCTTGAGCAGATGACGCTGAGTCCAGACTCGCTCAACTTCAACCTCATCGCTTTAGGCCCTGCAGCCTGACGAGTCCGGTACATCGTTGTTGTCGAATGTCTGGGCTAAATGAAACGTGGCTCACTCTCATTGAATGTCGAGCGATGTGCAAAGCTAGGATCTTGTAGTGTGTGTGTGCGCGCGCGCGCGTGTGTGTGTGTGTGTGTGTGTGTGTGCGTGCGTGTGTATGTGTGTGTGTGTGTGTGTGTGTTTGCGTGTGCGTGTGTAGACTGAAGCGGTTGGTAATTAGGTGGAACGAGAGTGAGATTAGCTTCTTATCTATATCTTGAGCGACTCGACGGCAAGGCTTGCAAAGGACTGTCAAAATGGTCTTTGAATGTTGGGGAAGCAGTGTAAAAGCCAACGACTAGAACAAAAAGGGGGGACGGTGGACGCGATTCGTTCCATCACACCGAACAGTCGTCTCACCAGGAACACCTTTACCGATCCCTCGAATGTGGTCGATGCGAGACGCTGCTTGTTCCGCTGCGGGGCATCGGAGGCTTGACTAGGGGTATTGCGACGCCCAGCAAACGAAGCGGCTGACTTCGAGTCGTTTGTGAGCTAGGCGTACTGGCTCACGAGGGAGCAGAAAGTAACATGATCCCGCTTTGAACGTCTCCAAATCGCTTGTAGAGCGACGCTGATCAAAATGAGCAAAAGCAAGCAGATGCGGCATCCAAGGGAGCCCCCCCCCCCTTTTCCGTCTCTCCTTGCGCTGCTCGCGTTTTGACCGGCGCGCAGCGTCATTGGCCATTGTCTGAATGGGCAGAACACGAGCGCTGCAAGCTGAGCGCAAGCTTTGATGAGTCCGTTCCGTTTGGCATCGGCAGCGATCCGTGCCGTGCTGCTACCACGGCGAGCTGCCAGCGCGCGAGATACGATCGCTGGCACAGCTCACATGATCAGACAACCACAACAGCCCTTGTCAACCTTCTCCTGGTCCTTTCCATTCGCAGTACGAAGCTGAGAGGACGTGTAAGCCGTCGAAGCTGGCGCGTCGTGATCCTTGGCCGGGGAGGTTCGGTTGCCGCTGGGCGGATAGATTTGCTGTTGTTGCTGTTGCTGCTGTGAGACAATGGCGGGATAATGTTGCAACTCTTCTGCGCGCGGATACCGCGCAAGATGATCTCGGTGCTGTTGATCCGCTCGCGCATTGCGCTCCCTCTCTTCTGCTTCGGCCTGCGCACGAACAGCGTCCGAATGGCTCGAGGACATGTGAGCGCTGTTGCTCCTAGGCCCATTCGCCACGGCCTGAGCTTGCAAGTCCATCATCTGCGTCCTGCTCAGCGGCAAGCCCTTGGTGTCCCACGCATCGATGAGTCCTTCGTCAAGACCTTGCGCAAGGATTTTCTGTTGAGCCACCCGTCTGGCCACAGCCGGCGGAAGCACCTCGTCCCACGTAGAGCCCGACGGTGGATGATGTGCGCTCCCAACGCCCAACGCAGCGGCCGAAGCTAGCGCGAGACCCGTAGCTTCGCTCGATGTTCTAGTGCGAGGTGCTCTTCCCTGGGCCCGAGTAGGCGAGACTTGACCCAACGGACCGCCAAACTCGTCTAGATCAGCACCTCGAGCATGCGCATCACTTTCTCGCCGACCAGTCCTGCTTGTACCGGCATGACTGGACCCTCCATCTTGAACGTATGCCGGACGAGTAGAGGTTGCACTCTCCTCGTAGGCTGAATTACCGGTTGCACTGTTCATTCGGTCATAGGTGCTCACAGGATTCGCAGAGCCGTACTGTCTCAGCCCTCGACTGGAGCTGCCACTAAGAGCCTCTTGCTGCTGCTGCTGCTGCTGCTGGGATAGTCGGGCAGCGCTAGATCCTCTTCGAGGCCTGTGCCTGCCCGGTTCTATTGGCGCAGGTATCCTGCTTGTCGGGCTTGCTGCTCGCTCCTGATAGCTGTGCGATGCGGCGGTATCGTTGCTGGCTGAATTGTTACTTCTTCGGTGCGCTGCAGTCGCCTGCGCGTCCATCGGTTGTGAGACGGCTCTCAAACGATCATTGAGCTGAGGTTGCTGGAGGGTTGAGCCGCTTGAACTGGGCCACGCGGAGCTGCTGTGAGCGGTGGGAGCCGAATTGGGCACGGAAGATCCCAACCCTTTCGGGCCGCTGAAGTCTGACCGATCAGCATACAATCTGCGTGCTGAATCGTCCTCCTCTTCCCTTGCACGACTTCTCCGACTGTCATCCCCGCTACGCTGTCTGTAGGCATCTGCTTTTTCTCGCGCTCTGCGCACGCTTTCCGCCTTGCTCGTGCTCGCGGGCGCTTGACGATTTTGACGATAGGCTGTAAGATCTGCAGGTTGTGTAAAGCTTCGGGCTTGATCGCTAGCTTCTCTACGACCAGATCCGCTCGTGATGACAGCTGCGTACCGAGCAGCATTGGGGGTAGCATGATGAGCAGAAGAGATGCCCCACTCCGAGGTGCTCGCAATGGGACCTTTCTTCTTGGAACCTTCGCCGTTGTAGGTCTCTGCAGCCACTTTGCGAGCTACTTGCTCAGCACCCAGAGGTACCCAACCATCCGATCCAGCCTGGTCCAACCTGCTTATCCTCTTTCCCAATCGAGCTGATTCGGCTTCCAATCGCTTTCGCAAAGCTGGAACGATCTCATCTTCCCATGTTGGCACACCGCTGTTGGAAGGTGGAGGAACGGATGAAGGGCCATACAGATCCAGCGCGTGCTCTGTACCTGGCCCTGTTGCCATTGTCGAGGAAGCCGTCATGGTGCTCATGGCTGCACGCGCCGCAGAGGCGATGAGTGCGCTCGCTTGGTGTTGCTAGATCACGAGGGCGATGGCGATGGCGATGGCGATGGCGAGTGCAAGGGCGCGAGCGAAATAAGCGATGCGAAGCGTGGCTGAAGAGTTGGCAGGAGGAGGATCGCCTCGATGGCATGCATAAGCGAGGGCAGCGGCGTATGCTCGGAGGGCGGCGGTCGAGTGCAGTGCTCTCACCAGAATCACGGGCAGCGCGTGTGATACGATTTTGATTGCTGCTGGTGTTGATGCTCAGCAGCAGGTGCTGAATTGCCAGCAGCCGCTGCGAGCTTATAATTGACGGTGATTATGAAGGGCGTCGATATTGCGCGCGGCAAAAGAGTCACGAGTGCTGTGAGTCAAGTCTTGACCATGCAGCAGCAGCGCAGCGCAGCAGATTGGCGGGTGATTGTGGTTGTGATTGTATACGCTCAGCTATATATATACAGTATGTTGGTATTCCAGGCCCAAGCTCGCCGCGGCCTTGAGCCCCTCCCGTAAACACGATCGATGCCGCTGGCGAGCCGATTCCGATTGAGATCGTGGCGGGCGATGGACGCGAGTCTGATGACGGATCGAAGACTGGCGGTGTACAAGCGCGCGTGTGGCAGCACCGCGGCCCGAGCTTTAGAATGATGGGCTGATGTGCAGAAGAGGAAGGTGCATGGTGATGATGGAGCAGATGCTGGTATGTAGCGTGACTGAATTGGAGATCGTTCCCCCCCTTTCAGAAAGTTTATCCCGTACCGGCAATCAGCACATGTCATGGAGCGGTATAGCAAACAGTTCACGAGTACGGCGGCAACGTCTTAAAGCTCAAAAGATTTCTCCTAGCGCATTTCAGAAGTGTGAACAGAATCGCGAATAAACGTGAATTGAATCTGAATGTCAGTCCGTATATATGTGTGTGCTGATGCCACCCCGCCGCGCGCGAGGCCGAGCCATGATGTGTTCTTGATTCGATTAGGTGCAATTTGAACCACCAATCCAACCCCCGCCCTAATTCACGCGCGACGGCCCGCCGCGTTTGATACTCGCGCGCGCGCGAGAGGCGGTGCATGCGCTTTAGCCCCTTTAGCTACCTAGCTACAGCATTTGCCCGGCGGTGCTGCAGCACGCGCCGCCAAGGAGCGAGCGGCGAGACCAGCAGAATCAGATGAGCCGGGCCCATCGTACTCACGTGTCTTGGACACTCTTTCCGTGCGATACCTTGCCAAGAAATCACCCACCACACGCACGCGATATACAGATTGAACAAGCCGCGTGCGATGTGCTACCATTCCTGTGAGCCCGCATGTGTTGCCAGGAAGGGGGTGTATGCCTACACCTCCTCACTACCCCATCACTCCCTCGTAGCCTTGAACTCGCATTCTTTTCGAAGGAGAGCGACATCAGCAGAGCTTTACTCAGAAACATCAAGATCGTAGTGCTTGACATCTACCTCTAGGAAGTACCTGCTTACTGGAAGGTCACGGGCTGTTGTCACGCGGGAGTGGCAAGATGGCGGGTATCAAGAGTGAGTGTCTCATCATGCGTATCGCACAACAAGTACCAATCATGCCCCCTCGTGATGCGCTTCGAGCTGACAAGGCATTCCAACCTCCCCACACCACCACTTGGCACACCGCAGCGATCATTTTCCTCTCCATTTCCCTCGCCCTCGGTTTTCTGCTCGTCATTCTCTCCTGCGCGCTCTTTTCCAATTGGCTCCCACTGCTCGTCGCATTGCTCTACGTGCTAGCTCCTCTTCCAAACACCATCTGCGCGCGCTGCGCAGGAGCAGACGATTTCAGCGCGGATTACAATAGCGCCTATGTGGATTTCGGAAATTGGTTGACCAGCACCACGGTCGTCTCTGGCATCGCATTGCCGCTCGTCTTGGCACATGCCGGCGTTATAAGGGTTGCGGCTTGTATCATGAGCAGTCTGGGAGGCGCGCTGGTGTATGGTACAAGTGAGTCCGAGCAAAGGCGGCTTTGAGTACAGGAGGATGCGGCGGTAGATCACCGTGGCTGGTATCATCGGGACGGGAAACCAGTAAAGCTGAGCAAGCGGGTTGCTCATGCGCAAGTGGAACGTAGGCAAGTTGCTTCAAGCACACATGATGATGCGAGTTCAATGGATAAGCCAGGCGCGTCACACGTGGAATGTCGTGCCCCAAACGAACTTCCTCGCAAGGCGCTCATCGCACCATCTACGAGCCCAACTAAAAGTTCTGCCCTCGCCTTGCTCCCCTCCTCTCCCACCCACAGTGCTCACCTACGCCGGGTTCTTTAGCGAGAGCGGCGACGACGCTTTCTAAGTTGCTGCGACGCAGTGAGCGGGAATGCAAGGCAAATTCTTTGAAATCCATTTCCGATCAGTCCATCAAGTCACCTTTCTGATAGCATTTAACTTCGGGACTCGTCGCTGCTCGCAACATGCCTCCCGAACGCAATACGATACCTACTGAGCAGTTTACTGCGCATTCTCCTCAGGCGTAGAGCTTTTCGGTACCTCATTCAGGACTGCTGCTGTTGAGCTTCTCCATGCGCGCACAGGTCCGGCATTGGCCACAGGCCAGCATGTCTGCAGCGATCAGTCGTTTGCCACTCAGGGGTTCTGGCTGCGATTTCATCACCGCTAGGGTCCGAGAGACGATTGTCATGTAAACGCATGGTCTAATTTCTAATTTGCGCACTGGACGAGGCACGGAGAGAAGATTCGTAAAGTCGAATGACAGGGCATAGGGGCTAGGCAATGCTGCTGCCGTTCGTCAGGGAGGTGTAACAGGCGGATCAGATGGCAGTGTAGCCACCATCGACGATGATGTCTTGACCCGTTGTAAAGGCGCTAGCGTCGCTGGCGAGGTAGACGATTGCGCCCTTGAGATCTTGAGGATCACCCATACGTCCCATGGGAGTGTATGCTTCCCACTTGGCCTTCAGCTCTTTGCCGCTCGGGCTTTGTTCGAGCACTTGCTTGGTCAGAGCCGTAGCCATGTATCCAGGGCTAAAGCGCCAGCGAGCAAGGCAGACGCGTTGGTTGAGCATTGAGCACGCTTGGGGGGGGGAAATTGCACGCGTTCAACTCACCTGAGCGTATTGACTCGAATACCGCGCGTAGCCCACTCGACGGCGAGGGACTTTGCGAGCTGCACGACTGCGGCTTTGGAAGCGTTGTAGGGAGCCTGAGCTTGAGGAACATTGACGACGGATCCAGACATGGAAGCGATGAGCACGATGGAACCTGGTCTCTGATCCTGAAGCATGATTTTGGCTGCTTCCCTAGCCACAAAGTAGCTTCCTGTAATGTTGATATCGAACAGCTTCTTGATGTTTGGCGTGGGGTACTCTTCTGCCGGATAGTTTTCCACTATGCCGGCACTGTTGACCAGCACATCTATGCTTCCCCATTTGCGTCGAATGTCTTGCATGGTGCGCGCCACGCTCTCCTCGTCCGCCACATTGACGCCCCAACCTTGCACTTCGATCTCTCCCTTGAACGCCTGTCCATTCTCTTCGAACCACTTCAGCACATCTTCAGCAGCATCTTGGCTCTGCCTAGCGTCCAAGTCCAAGATGGCCAAACGATCCGCACCGCTCTCTATGAAAGTCCTAGCGATCAAATTTCCCAATCCCCTCGCAGCTCCAGTCACTACGCACACTTTACCCTGCATGTTGAAAGAGGCCAGACTGCGTTTGGGCTTGCTCTCCACCCTTCCCACCGTCGAATGGCCCAAGTCGGACTTTTGACGCTGCTCCAGCTCAGAAGCTGGGTAGGGTTGTTTGATGGACGGATCAATGGACGCGTGCTCGCCCGCACTGGCCTCTTTGCCCTTGAAGGAGATGGGCGTGCTGCTGAATGGCCGCACAGCGTCGGGCATCGCGCCGAGAATGCTTGAAGGTCCGGCGATGGCGTTGCTGCTCGAGCAAGCACCGTATGCCAGACTGCAAGGGGCAGAGATGACAGGCAGGTACGCGTGCGCGTTGCTGCTCTTGGCCATCTGACGGGTCAGCAGACCGCGCACAAAGGTTCGAGAGACTGCCATGATGATGAGGTGGAGCGTGGGTGTGGAAGAGGCAGTGAGGATGACGATTGCGGGGAGTGAGTTGATGACGATACGAGCTGATGAGCTGGATTTCTGCAATCCTGGCTGGAGGGATGTGGTGATCGGGATGGCTGAAGGTGGCTCGAGATTGGAGCAAGGTGGTGATGATGCATCCTCTGTTGTGCGTATAGTCGCCAAATAGCATGTGCGTACATCACGCCGGCCCGCCCCTCTCACACCTTTGACACACACCCGCCATGCGCCATCCATCCCATTCATCCAGCATCCATCATCCATCATGGCATCCATCTTGAACGCCCCTCGGCGAATTAAAATTTTGGGGTCCTGCATGCAAGCATCGCACACAGCAGCACGCATGCACGCGTGCCGAAGCGCAGAAGAAAGTCAAAGTCAAGTTGGAAGTCAGACGTCACGTGCAAGTATCTGAATTCGCGCACGGACTCTTGACTCGCAACTTATTGGCAGGCTCCTCTATGTAACTCGATTAAGCATCTGCTGGTCAAGCATTCAGATTCGATTCAAATTGGATGCGTGCGCGCGCGCGCGCAAGAGGAAGGTACGAGCAGCCAGCATGCATGCAACGCACGCTCTTGGCCTCTCTCCTCTGCATCCATCAACGCTTCTCACCATCACACCTCACACCCGTGACGCTTCAGCTTCACTTGGCCCATCACAGCACACCAGCTCGCAGTCTATGCTTCCTTCTTTGCGTCGTTTGACATCCATCCACCTTTGCACTGCAAAGCTACCTCTCGCACCAGCCGCAATCGCTTCTCCTTTCGGCCTTCTCAACCAAACACCCTCTCGCCATCTGAGCTCATCCATACCGGTCATGTCTGCTCCTTACCAAGTCATCGCAACCAAGGATGCCCCATCCGCCATTGGTAAGTCTTTCCACACATCCTCTGCGCTCAAGTGGCTGGTGATGCGTGCATGCACGCATACCCTCTTCACCTCTGCTAATCCCAAAAAACGACTTTTCCCATTCGCTCGCACAGGTCCCTACTCTCAAGCAGTAGTGCACAACGGCGTTGCCTACTTGTCAGGCTGCATTCCCCTCGACCCAGCCTCAATGCAGATAGTGCAAGGCGGCGTGGAGGAGCAGACGATTCAAGTGCTCAAGAATCTCGAAGCTGTGCTCAAAGCTTCTACAAAGGGTGGCAAGGAAAATGCGCTGAAATGCACCGTATTTTTAAAGGATATGGGCGATTTTGCAAAGGTCAATCAGAGTGAGTATTTGGAGGAGGGCCTTGATGCGGCGAGCAGCGGGCGGGGTGCGTGAGGCATGGCCAAGGTTGTATGGTGGAGAGGGGGGCAGCGACGATGAACGAGTGCATTGGGCTTGGTGGCATGGAGCAAGTCATGGCGTCTATCATCCGCTCACTCGGCTACGACTTTTGATGCGCATTGCTTTCGCCCTCTTTTCAGTCTACGAAAACGTGAGTTGTCGTGCTTTTTTGCTTCTCTGGCCACGTCGCGCTGGTCAAGAAGTTGACACGCTGCCTCCATACCTACGCACCTGCACCAGTTCTTTGCTCCATACAAGCCAGCACGCTCAGCAGTCGAGGTAGCTCGTCTGCCGAAGGATGTGCTGGTAGAGATCGAAGCTATAGCTGCAGTCAGCGCCTGATCCCTTTGTCCCATCAGGCGTCGTGCAGCCAAGTCATCACGCTGCGCAAGGAGCCGCAGTGAGACCGCAGCAGAGTCGATTGCAATCTCAGTCATCCCGTGTCATTCTTCTGAGCTCTGAACGGCTCCACAACAGCAGGAGTGGAGTGAGGAGTGGCAACCGTGAAAGGAAGCAGGGTGGCATTGCGCTTGTATTATGATTGCGGCGAACGAGTTGCAATTCGTTCGCCGGGGGAAAGCGTGTGTGCTGTGAAGCGCTACTCAGGCCGGCCTGCTTCGATGCAGTGCGCCGCAGGCGCGAGTGAAGGTGCGTGCCTTGTGAATCTATAATTTGCCCTTGATGGCGGCGTTGGCGGCGTTGGCTGGACTGAGGGTCTGACCGTCGGAGCTGGATCGACTGCCTTCCGCCTTTAACCTCCAAGCCTCTCTGATCTCATCCACCACGAGTTCGTAGTACTTTGCTCCCTCCTTTTTGCTCTTTGTATTAGGTTCTTGATCCCATCCGTGTTTCCTCTGCGTGGCGGTGATGAAAGTAGCGCGCACTTGCTCATCTTGAGCAGCGGCGGCGGAAGAGGCGCGCTCCTTGTTGAGCTTGTTGATCAGGTCTTGTCCGTCGGTGTACAACGTATCCAGATCGCCTGCTGCGATCCACACCCTCTTTGGAAAGCTTTCGGAGGGGGCCAACAGAACGCTCAGACGAGGATCGCGCAGGTTGGTACCCATGGGAATATAAGATTGGCTGAAAAACTTGAATAGACGTACGAGCAGACCGGGAGGTTTGCCACCTGGGGCGGATTTGGAACCGTCGGGCTTGGTGAAATCGGTGACGGGATAGAAACAAGCGATGGCTTGAATCCTATCCTCCTGCGCCTCTGCGTCTGGCTTCGAGGCATCGTCATGATGATGATGATGATGATGATGATGATGCTTTGTGAAGAGCGTGCTGCCGACCAAGGCGAGATTACCGCCGGCGGAGAATCCGCTCAAGGCTACGTAATCCGTATCCAGTCCCTGTTCCACCTTTGCGCGCTCGAAAAACCAACGCAGCACGTCGCTCACTTCGCGCACTGCCCAGGGAAAGGGCCATTTGGGAGCTTTGACATAGTCGACGTCTAGCACGGTGCACTCTAGTCGTGCGGCCATGTGGGAACAGTAGAGCGAATCCAAGCCGTGATTGGGCAAGACGAAACCGGAGCCGTGCCAATTGAGTATGGTGCCGCGAGGCTTGGAGACGCCTGTAGGCGTGTAGATGATGATGGGCAATCGTCGACCGGTGGAGGGTGCGCGAATGTGAATCGTTCGACGCGAGACTGCTCCGGATGGAACATGATCGTTGTAGGAGCGGAAATAGTAGCCGATGAGAGCGAGGGGTCGAAGGAGACAGAAGAGGAGATTGGCAATGAGACGTAGACGGAGGTATTGCAGCGTCCAGGCGTGACTGCCTGGAGGCTCGCCAGTAGGTCTGCTTGTTGGGGCGGTCATGATGCGCTGCCGAGGGCTGAAACGGGGATTGATGATGATGATGATGATGTGTTCAGGGTCAAGAGTCAAGGATCAAGAGAGAGAGAGGCGTTCGAGTCAGCTGAGGGCGCACTTGAGGGTCGATGAGCTGCGGGTAATGGATCAGACGATTGGGGGCAAAACGTGTACCGTGTTTGTTGAACTCAGCTGAGTGTGCCTTCGAGCTGGCAAGGCTGAGCAAAGGTATGACTGACCATCGAACATGCACTACTTGATATTCACATGATTCACTCATCAGACTGGCATTCCGATTCCGGATATCGAGGCGCATCGCGTATCCTACCGCACCGTATCGGATCTATCGTGCGGTTGTGAAAAAGGGTCGCTGCATCAGCAAGACTAAGAAGGTGCAGCGAAAGCTAAAGAGGACGCCAGGCAGCTTGACTGATGGAGCGTCGATGCTGATGGTGCTGCTGCTGCTTCTGCGTCCCGCCCCAGCAGATGGTCCCACCAGCACCATGCAGCATGCACTCGACTTGCTACCCAAGCTCATCGTGGCGATCGAGCGGCCCTGCGGCTTCCTTCTCCTGAGGTGTGCAAATCTGCATGGGCTCCGTTCGGAGACGGAGCATTCTGTAGCGCGCGCGGGCGGGAAGAAGTCTCGATGATTCTTTATTGCAGTGAAATTCAATCAGAATTTGAATGGCGCGTACGACGGACCGTGTTGCGTGTTGTGCTTGCCTCGTGACAAGGAATTTTTTGGGCAAAGGCGTTGCGGTGCGCAACACCTGCGATGCGTTATAGCAAACAGCAGCAGCAGCAGCAGCAGCAGCAGCAGCAGCAGCAGCTAGCTGGTGAGGAGGGGGCACGCAAGCGTCAGCCCGCGACAAGAAGCATGTGTGTGTGGGTGCTGCTTGCTTTTTGGCTTCGCTCTTCCAGGCTTCACGAATGGTGCATGCATGCATTCGTCTTCTTCAGCGTCCTTCTTTTCCACTCGCACCACGCTCCTCAGTCATCTATCTACCTTGCCGCACACTGCCACTATCCGTCGCAGTAGCCTTGCCGCCTCGACCGCGGCTTTGAATACACTCTCACTCCACTCGCAGCGCATTTGGAATGATGGACGCAGATCCACCCCTGTCTTCAAGAAGCAGTGGTGCGGCTCAAGCTTCCAGCAGCAGCAGCAGCAGCAGCATCAACGCTACTGTCAGTAGCGCCTCTCACACACTCTCTCCTCTCACATCCTACAAATTCTACCTTTGCACACCCAATCAAGTCCTCTCTGTCCGTCTTGCCGCTCTAAGACCGACGTACACATCCACAGCCCTCAAATCGGATGCCAAGTCCAAAGCTGCCCAATCGGCAGCTCAGTCGCAAGATCAGGCTCAGGCTACGGCCAGCCTTCCCAAGACGATCAAAATCCGAGACTGTCAGGGACACGCATCGCCCCAGAGGGCCATTCAACGCATGACGTTGGGACATGTGCGAGGTCACAAATTGGTGAGTCACACATCAACGTGTTGCGCGTGGCGCACGCTAATGCTACCCCTGGCGTGGTGGCGTCGGGCATCGTACTGAACCTGTACGCTCTGCATTGCTGAAAGTTGGCGCTCGCACGACGTGACGGGACGATAGACATTGTACACCTCTCGAGCGCTCTGCGCGAATCAGACAGTCAAGAAGAGCCTAAGGATGCGGAACAAGGCAGCAGTGCGAATGCGGGGCAAGGACAAGAGGACCGTGCACATGCAGACGCAGAGGAAGCTCATGTAGTGGCGACGATCAAAGAAGATCGCATGAGAGCAGGTATGGAGCGCTGGCTTGCGCTCTCCTACTCTCAACGTCACATCTATAGCATCACCTCTGCTGGATCATTACGACGCACCGAGCTGCTCCTAGCTCCCAGCACCGTAGTCGTTCAAGATAGTCTCAGCGAAAGGGCAATCCAAAGCAGCTCTGACAATGCGATTGCTCAAGGGACATGGTCGCTGGGAGAGTCCACAATTCTAGACCTCCCCGCACCTCTCCAAAGCGCCACCTTCTATCCGGCGCATGAGCCTACCCACTTGCTCATGGGCGGCGAACAACAAGCATTGTCCCTGTGGGACCTCAAGGCGGCGTTCGAGCCCACTGCCGAATCGGACACCTCCCTCGTCGAGACGGAACGAAACGGAAATGCGCAGGAAAGTGGCTTGAGCGCAAAGGAACGCAAGAGGAAGAGGCAAGCAGAAAATAGAGCGAAAGCAAGAGAATTGTTGCCCGGAGAACTTTGGCGAGCCAAGCCGGTGAGTCTGCCCAGGAGAGACTTCAGCGCGTTTCGATTAGCGATCATCTTCTTTGCAGCGCGCGATCAGCTAACTTGCGTCTTTCCGAAATTTCAAAGCTCCCTAACGACGCCCTCTCGCTACCTCAACATCCGCGCATCACTAGCGTGTGTGTCTTGTCCAAGTCGACCGATGGCGCTGCCACTTTGGACTCGGACGATCGGCCCTCTTCAGCACCCACGCAATTCGTCGCTGGTACGAGGGACGGTCTGCTGCGCTTCTACAACACTCGAGGTGGAGCTCGAAAGGCGCACAGAGAAGTGCGGGTCATTCCTTCAGGACAGGGCGCCGTCCGGCTGATCGTCCCTGGCTCGGCAGATCTGGGCTTGCCCAATCAATGCGCTGGTGCCGAGCTGAAAGAAAAGAAAGGGCAAGATGCGGTGCAGCCGGACGGACGTGCACAGATCGATCGGCATGCGGACTTGACGAGGGAGATCTTTGTCGCTGATCAGGGCGGCAAATTGTACGCGGTGGGCGTGGATCAGGGCAACATTCGATATTCTTATCCTGGTCAGTGGCGATCCCTACCACGAGCGCATACGGCAGACATCTAGCTGATGGCGTCTTGTTATTGTAGATATCAACGGCGCAATCACTTCGGCCATGGCTGTGCCAGCGCCACGTCGAGGTGCATCTGACGCGGCAAGCAATGGTTCGCGAAACTATCCAGCGCGACGGGCTAGGCACGGAGCAGCCGCAAGCGCCGCGGATCCGGAAGAACAGGCTCCGCTTTTGCTCACATGCTCTCAAGATAGATTGCTGAGGCTGCACAGCACCGCTCCTCCCATCGCGGAAGGTGCAGACGCATCGCAGACCGACAACATCAAAGTTGCGGGCGGCAGGAACACGAGTCACAAGAGGGGCAAGACGATCTGTTCGGTGTTTGCTGCTCCAGGACAAGATGGCCTGATAGGTGCGGCATGGGACGGCGTGGTGCCTGCGCAAGTACCGCAGGAAAGCGACGCGCAAATGGATGCGCGAGGTGCACGAGGTGCACGCAAGGCTGGAGAGGATGAGATGGGCCAAGAGACGGATGAGGAAGGTGAAGAAGAAGAAGAAGAAGAGGTGTGGAACAAGCTTGGGACTGTTGGGAAGGACGGATTGGAGGATGCGCGCGAGCGAGGGGTCGATGCTGAATGGGCGCAGCAGGATCAGACCGAAGAAACGTTGACTGATCAGCCGGCTAGATACAAAAGACTCAAGGTGTAGGCTTACTTCATACTCGCAAAGTTGCCGAGACCAGAAAAACGCTACGCGCCATGATCGCTTTTGCTCGCACCAATGCCCAGAAACACGCCTGTTTGGCCCCTCTGCACGCGGTACGAACCGCTGACATTATGCTTCGCATTCCGCATTTTTGGGGGGGGTAATAGGCGGAACAACGGAGCAGGGAAAGGGTGCTCGCGGTCTTGTGGGCTGGCTCACTTCCAAGAGGGGCGCATTGGCGCTTCTCAGACTTTTTTGTATAGGTATGAGCGCGCGGCGGGCGGAGAAGAATGATGGAGGGAGACGTAAGAGCTAGTTGGGCTCGGATTCGGGGGGGAAGAGAAAGCGATGGATGCTGCTGGCTGCTGGCTGCTGGTTGATGCTAGCCGGACACCCCCTTTTTTTTTTTCTTCCCCCCCCCGTTGCGCTTTCTTCTTGTTTCGCGATGCTCGCGCTCGCGCTTGCACGTAGAAGCTGCAGGGGGGGGGGGGGGGGGGGGGGGTTCCTCTCTTGTTATTGGGCGGCTACTCTTTGGCCCGATCGTGAGGTGCCTTGGCGTTCTGGTGTTTTGGGGATAGAATCGCACCTTCTCTGACGCCTCCTTTCCTGGTTGGAGTCACTGGGCAAGGAGAGCGTGCGCCAGTCTGCATTGCTGGTTGGAGTCACTGGGCAAGGACAGCGTGCGCCAGTCTGCAGAGCGTGGTACGAAGCTTCATCTTGGGGACAAAGGGGCTTCGCGTTCAAGCTGTTCTCCATTTTTTGGCGTCTCATTCACGTCCTGTCCCTCCGATAGGCCGGACCTTCTGCGGGCGCTTCCAGCAAGGTATCCGCGCGTCGTCTTTGCAGGACGTCTTGCTGGAATGCGCGCCTCCTCTTGCGTGGAGATAGGTCTGCCAAGCATCTGCGCACGTATCCTCTTTTTGGAAAGCATTCGTGCAAGAGCTCCAGAGGTGCGCCGGACGATTCGGGAAGGAGAAAGATGGCAAAGAGTACGGCGAGCAGAGCGTCTGTGCCGAAGATGAAGAATGTGCCACCGTTTGGGATCTGCGGGGGAAGGTGCGGGCAATTTATTTGTAGGATTAGGAGCTAGGACACTTGCCTTGAGGGCAGTAGCAGCATCGCTCACGCTGGCCAGCATGTTGGGTGTGGCTCGAGCTACGCATGCGTTGAAAAGCCAGTTGCTCATGGTACCTTTTACAAAGAGGTGTCGAACCATACGCGTGTCAGCTATCCTCGTCTGGCAGAGAGAGTAGCCAGGCGGACTGACCCAGAGACATGGCCAGAGCTCTAAGTCTTTGAGGCGGTACCTCGCTACTGACAGTCCAGACAGGTCCACTCCACCCCAATCCGAACCCGATGACGAACAAGTACAACATGGCAATGGTGAGGTAGGCGATGCCCTTATGTCGCGCGGATTCTTCGCCCGCGATAGCTAAGAAAGTGCCAATCCACCACAGACAGAAGCATTGGATGAGGCCGCCTATGATCAGACACCATTTGCGACCTAGCTGCTCAATGGCCAGACACATGAAGAGGAGCGTCGTGGTGACTTTGACCACGCCGTAAATGCCTGTGGCGAACAGACCGGTGGATCGACCGCGCAGACCCAAAGTGCGAAAGATTTGTGGGCTGTAGTAGTTCTGTTGAGGCGAAAGGAAAGAAGCTTGCTGTCAGTCGAGCCGACTGTGCACCGATCGGGTAACGCTTGCGAGCTCACCACGCCGTTGACACCTGTCCACTGTTGCAGAAAGTTGACGATGGCCGGGACAAGACATCGATAGAGCGTCATTCTATCCGTCAACATTTCTCTGCAGGCAGCTTTGAGACCAGGATCGGCGCTTCCCTGCAAATCGCAGCTGATCTCTGCCAACAAGCCAGCTACGTAGACATCGTCGCTAGACTTGTGCAATCTTCTCAGGGAGTCTCTGGCAAGTTCTTGACTACCGTGTTGAACAAGCCATCGAGGAGACTCGGGGCAGTATGGGGAAACGGTACCGAGGAGTGCAAGCAGCGCAGGCAGAGCCCTGCATCAGGGTACACGCTCGCAAGCAGGATGACAGTCAGCAGCCTTGGGACGTCGACCATGCTTTGCGACTCACTGCAGACCAAAAGCGACTCTCCACTCCGTGGGATCCTGCGATACTGCGCCGAACCGCAGAGACAGACCATAGTTGACGAAGAAAGCGATCATCATGCCTGTCACTACGTTTCTCGCAGATACCACCGATCAGTCGGTGATCGTCGGGTTGACAGTGATACAGTCACAAGCTGGCTCACCAACAAACAGTTGGAAGGAGCAAGAAAGTCTTCCCCTGATTTCTTTGGGCGCGATTTCCGCGATGCTGTCGTGCGTGCAAGCATGACGATGTTTTGCATGGGCAGACATCCTTGCAAGTTGGCATGATCAAGAAGGGACACTTACTAAGTTGGCACGACGGAAGATGCCAGACCCACTCCGAAGCCGCCGATCGACCTTCCAACATACAGCTGCACAAGCGCTTGTTCAGGCTGTTGAGCGCCAACAGCGCAGCAAGTCTGCACCGCCGTCCCGGCCAGAGCGACGAGGGCAGCAAGGATCAACGATTTGCGCCTTCCGATTCGATCGGGCAATAGCAGTGCGGAAGCGGCGCCCAAGAAACAACCAGCTTGCAGAGTGGAGACGATGTTGCCTTTGAAATTGGCTAGCGATTGGGAGCCGGATGGAAGAGCGAAAGAGTGCTGGAAGGATGCGCTGTCCAGAAGACCGCCGATCATGCCCGTGTCCCAGCCGAATAGAAGACCGTACAGTCCAGCCAAAAGACCGCAAGTGTAAGCGTTGCGATGCTTGTCTACTTGCAGCATCGTCGTCTTCACATAGGCCGCGATAGCACCATCAGCAGCGCTCTTCATTGTCGAGCTGCTCAGCTGCGCAGGATCTGCACTCCTCACGAACGAGCCGTTGTCGCCGGCCGCGGTAGGATCAGACTTCTCGACACGTGAGCGCATTCCACAAGGGTCAGAACGAGGCTCATGAAGTTGCGGTCTCGCGGTAGTGTCGCCCAAGCTCGCATGGTCGGACGAAGGCGCTGAGGAGACTTGACGGGCAAGCTTCTGTTTGAAGTACGAGATGCCAAACATTGCTCCAAGGTCCAACGTGCTCTCCGACATGACAATCTTGATGCAGTCGAAGGAATGGTTGGATGTGCCAAAGTGGTGAGAGAGAGGACAATTCTGCGACTTGTAAGCTTGTGAGAATGGAATGCCTCGAGCTTGCTGAGAGGGGGCCTGCCTTTGCGGTGATGAGCGGCGCACGTCTGGTCCAGCCTTGCGCAGGATGAGCTCGTCAAGTGGTCTGGGGGCTTGCGGTCGAGCGCCACGTCGCCGGAAACCACCTCATTCAGCGCAAACGACCTGGCGAAGAAGGAGGTATGGCTCTGGGACAAAGAGGTTGAGGAACGACAGTGTCCTCTTGCGTGATGTGGCGGCGACATGGCGTAAGGCGGGCGATAGAGGCTGACAATGAGCAGTCAGGTGAGAGTGGTTTGCTTTTGTTTCGGCAGCTATCAAGACGAACGGCACCTTGATCCCACACGATCCCTGCCAATCTGAGTCACTTGACTGAAGTTTGCCGGCCAGCCGGCTCGGCTGAAATGTGGCGGTGGCTGACCACGATTCTGAAGAGTCAGGCGAGTCGTGAGAGCTACAAGGGCGCAAATCGACGCGGTCGGTCGTTCAATTGTGAACAAAATGTGCAGCAGCGGTGCTTCGGATGCCGTTCGCGGAACAGCTTCCAATGTGAGCGGTGCTGACGTCTCACGTACGTGCGCTTCGTGTGGAGCCGAAACAGACTGATGAGCAGGTCACAAAGCCGCGGAATCGGTCGCCGCACGATGGTTAGCGAATGTCCTACAGCACGATTCTGCTGCTGAATGAACAATGCTCGACGTTCGGCTACCACGGCGCCATCGACCACGAAGGTGAGCCATCAAGAAACAGCACGAACGGCTATGCAGCAAGAGCAATTTTGTTATCTTCTCGAACTGCCTCAACTGAATGGATCTTGCGACGATATAGCCAGCCCGCGCTACACGATCGAGACCGGGTGACGCCTTCGAGTGGCAAAGTGTGTGTTTTCATGATTGTATACACATATCCGTCGATCGAGACAGAGCTATTGTGGGCCTCGAATCAAGGATGATAAGTAAGAGTTTACCGAATCTGCCCCCGGCCCCTGCTTACCTTTTGGACAAAGACGTGGACGTGTACGAGACTTAGATCTGGGCTGTAGTCTGCTGCTTTGCGTCCGCTCGGCTCATCGCGATGGTCGAGTCTTGAATTGCGAGCGCATGGTAGGCATGATGCTCGCTTACTTGTGATTCGTGATGATGATGTATCGGATCGGATCACCAAAAGGAGAGAAGCAATGTCCGCGGATCTCCGCGCGCATACCCCCGACGCGTCTCTTAGTGTTGCGCGCGCGCGTGTTCTTTGGGAAACGCAACACGGCGGGGAATGCAAAGCACCGCGCTCCATTCGTGATTGCAACTCGACGCACCAAGCGACCGGAGCACCATCATCACAACAAGTTCATAATGCAACACCTTGCGCTGCACGCTCGCAATCACTAGCAAAACATCAGCAGCGCTCGCCCGCACTTTCTCCGCTCCTGCTCTCTGTATGCAGGCTAGTCTCCTGCAGTCCCATCGGCACTCCACTCCGACATCCAAAGGCGTTTGTTATTGCAGCGCTGCCAAAACGCTGAGCAACCTCGGTCCACCGGCGGGGCTGCCGAGTAATGGGACCGTATGAGCGCTTCGCACTGGAAATCTCATGACGAGGGCCTGTTGGTGGACGGTGCGCCACTGTGGGCGACGCATCATCTGGTCGGCCCAAGTCAAGGTCTCGAAGTCCCAGCAGGCTCGTTTCATCGATACAGTGCTTTCGGCCAAGATCTGATTCGCCAGAAATGTGGAGGAAAGGACTTGCTACAGAGTGCGGATAATACTTCGTGGCGGACGCAAGATGACAGCGAGGAGGAGGATCGGATGGATGAAGACGAACCCAACGCTCCTCGATTGCATTGGACAGAGTTCGTCTCCTCTTCCCAGCGCAGGCCAACGTATAGAAGAATGCCTTCCCCTCCTTTGGAGGACATTGCAACTGTGCCATCTGGCCAGTCTTCCATCGTTTCGAAAGGTCCCGCGAAGCCAGTCTTATCACTGCGCGCTGCTGAGCTGGCGACGCTTGCTAGGGCCGCGCGCATGAGTGGGTTAGAGCCCGGACAGCCTGGCAAGATGGCGTCTTCTTCCTGTGAAGCAGCCCACCAGACACCCTCGGATACCATGGACGTCGAGCAAGGGCGGGACGCAGATGCGTCGATGACCTCTATCGCTGCGTCGGCTCCTCTTGAAGAGCCAGAGGGGGTGGATAAGTGCGGAAGCGAGCTTTTCGAAGCGCTGATAGCTTCTATGCTACCTGGGTATGATTTCAAGGCCATGAAAGAGACGCTGCTTCACTGCCAATGGGAGTGGAATGCCACGAGCGGCAGCGCAGGGTGAGCCAGCTGTCCATTTTTTGTCGCCCAGATGGAGATCGGGACACGTGTTGACCATACGCCTTGCCGCTCGTCTCAGACCTACGCTGCGTTACGCCAATGCATCAGAATCTTCTTTTGCTCCCGACGGCCTCTCGAATGCACTTGCTTCCAGAGACGCTCGACGTGATCAAGAAGAAGCAAAGAATGAGCGACAATCAGCGCGACCTAGACGGCATTCGCGTGCCCCTCATCGCGGTATTTTGCCGGCGCTCGCACCAGTCCAGGACAAGCCAAATGCACTGCATCGATTCTGGGCTAAAAGAAGGGATGTACTAAGGGCTGCTTTGCTGAGACATCGAAAAGATATGGATCGAATATCTCGTCAGCATGTGGAGTCAGCGACTGCCAGCACAAACCAGGCAGCTCCGGCGAGCGAGAAGGCGGCGCCGCCCTCTGATGCTTCGACCACACCGGCAGCCCCTAGCGTCATTGTGAAGAGGAAGCCAGGACGGCCGAGAAAACATCCGCTACCGGAAGCTGGCGCTCACACGAATCAAGCCCATCCGCCCGCCGAGCCCTCCACTAGTGCCGGACCAGCGGAGAACAGTGCTGAAGCAGACTTGGAAGGAGCTGCCTCATCGGACGGCGTGCGACGAAGATCGCGGAAAGCCGCGCTGATATCATCTAAGCGCACCAACACACTGTACAACCTACGTCGCTGGACACGGCCGCCCAAGCCGCGCCGCATGCAGCCCACGAACGAGGAAGACATCATCGAGGCTTTGCTGGGCGACGGTTGTCCGTCGGAGACCGTTCCGGCGAAGAGCATACCTGCGAAGAGGTTGAATGAGGTCAGAGCGACTGGCGCAATCAAGCGAAGGACGTACATCCCCACGGGGCGTCCTAGAGGTCGGCCTCGGAAACACGCATCGTCTGAGACTGTACGGAAGGCAACATCGCACGTTTCGAGTCCGCCCAAGAAGTCGGTAGCTGCACAGGAGACGCGACTTCCTATTTCCTTGCAAGCGCGCGAGCCTACACCACCAACTGCAACCACACCTGCACCGGAGCCAGCGACCGCGTCCGCCTCAGCACCGAAAACGGCTGAAGATCCACCGACCAACGGTGCGCCCGCAAGAACCATCTTTGACGCAATGATGGAACGGGCGACGATTGTCGGTGTCCCCCTGCGTTCAAGACCGCCAGGAATCAGCAGAGAGCCTGTGCGACGCGCGTCTGAAAGAAGCAGCGTCGGCATTCTGGACAAGGTGGCGCTGCGCGCTGAGCGGGGAGAGGAGAACGAGGAGGAACCTCGGATCCTGCTTCATCAGGCCGAGCGCCCGCCGAGACTTTCTTCGACTACCACCGACCCAACGCTTAACGGGCTTGCTGGCCCAGCTGCTGCTTCCACCTCGGCCAGAGCGGCTGTCGTACATGCTTCTGCTTCCACCTCTACACGGGGTATTAGAGGTCGTGGTCGAGGTCGAGGTCGGGGTCGGGGTCGAGGGCCAGGGCCAGGACGCGGAAGGGGCCCAGGTCGACCCAGAGGACGTGGGCGAGGAGGTAGGGCTCTGCCTAGCGCTAGATCTGCCAGAGCGTCGGACAGTGCAGACCTGGCAATAGTCGAGACGACTAGAATAGGGACGTCTCTCCAAAGCGCAGCGCCACGTCAGCGGCGATCCACTCGGACACGGAACGAGGCGGACGGTGCGCAGACAGAGCTGCACGAGGGCGCTGGAGTACAGTCGACGAACATGGGGCAGGCTGGAGCAGCGCGGCGTGGGGGCGACGAGTCTGCCGATGGCTCTACCGCCGAAAGTGCACAGTCAAAGAACGGATCGCTGGTCAATTCAGTAGGCGGGCAAGCAAATTCCGATAGCGCTCTCTTGACCTCGTTCGCTGAACGTGGTAAGAGCAGCTCGATCGAGTCCGCGCACGTGCATAACCAATCACCTATCATTGGTGCCCAAGCTGATCCTCCGACGGCGCTCGCGTCGGCAAAGAAGCATGCGAGGCCCAAAGCTCGACCAAAGACATACTCTAGACTCTCACGTGCCTCATCCGACACAATCTCTAGACAGCGCATCGGTGAATCTGTGCCAGCCGAAATTCGTTCAAGCTTTGTCGCGCAGAGCAACGCACAAAGCGACGTTTCTCGCGCATCAGATACAGCAGCATCGCCCCTCGACGGCTCATCGGCCGCGTTGTGTGCGGACGAGACGTTTCGGACAAGCAGGACGGATGGGGTCTTGGCAGGTCCCAGGAAGCTGACTTCTGCCGAAAGTGTCGACGAGCATGCAACCATGGGCAGGGCGTCGGGAAAAAAGGTGAAGGGCCGTGGTGGGGAGAGTGGTTTGGGAAAAGCTGCGCGAAGGGATCGGGCTGTCGATGGGACTACGAAAGCGCTGCATGGTTCGAGGAGGCACACTCGGACGATGCTCGAGGCGAATTCCACCTTCAAGCTGCCCATGCCTTCCTTTTGGAAAAGTTGAGCATATGCAGTGGGGTCAACGCTCCGCATGCATGCTTTCCGAAGGGCCCTCTCCATCGCCCCTCGGCAATGCGAATGTATCATTCGACTGTTGACCGTCCTGTTTTCCTCTTCGGAGTCTCTATTTGTGCGTGTATGCCTGTGCTGACAATGTTGCACGGGGTGAGGATCAATGAGGCAAGGGAAAGCTTGAGGGAAAGGCTCGAGAAATTTGACCTGCCCTCGCTTGGAATGCCCCTGCGATGCGATGCGCGACCGGCCCCATCCCCGACTTGGCTCTTTTTCCGAAGCAGACCTGTACCTGTGCACGTGCATCGAGCTCGTTGCATCGTTAGTAACGACGAGGCTTGCTCCTATTCCGAATGCCCACTAAACATTCGAAAGCCCCGGTCAGATTCGTGCCAGGAGCTAGAGCGGCGTCGGACGATTCGGGCTACTTTGAAAGGGGCCCTGCTTTGCCCGTAGACATTCCGAGCCGTCGAGCTCAAGTGTGCAGGAATAGAGTAGAAAGTGCAGCGAGGTTTGGGAGACTGGGACATGAGCATTCGAATTTCTCATTCGTTATATCTTCTGATAATCACGTGAATATGGTACAGCGGGGACGGTATTGTGGTGTGCAACAGACAGACTGGTGGAAAACAAAAAACAAAGTTACAACCGCGTCGTAGAGTGCTGATCTTACAAACTGAGTCGGAGGCATCTTGGCGAGACGTTGCTGGTTCGATTTGTTGTTGGGATTCGGTGTTGTGGTTCGGAGTAGCGGGACCATACTCCGATTTGTGCACGAAGGTTTCGATGTTGCAAAAAAAAAAAAAAAAAAAAAAAAAACCCCCCGACACGAGGGCGAGCAGGCGATCTGTGCTCTCCCCCCTTTTCTCGTTCAGATGACGTGCCACTCATCTTCCTTTTTGCCAATCGTGAGTGCGACATCAGCCGAGCGGAAAGGTGAAGACGAGTCCGTCTCTCCACGCGCCTCGTTCACTGGCATGCCGTACCAATTCTCATCGTCGCTTGGCTCACTCAGCGTCGCTCCCACTTCGACCCCATTGAAGGTCACGCCTCCAACTGGATTTCGAGGGCGTCGAAATGCTTTGGTTTGCTGTTGGATTGTATTCGGGAGTATGCTGGGCGGAGGAGCCTCGCTTGGTTCATTGCTTTCGCGAGCGCCAGGAAGCGCACTGGACGCTCCTGATGTGCCACTCCGATCCGATCTATATCTCTTGGCAGTCTTCTCTTTAGATGCGAGGAAGTCCAACGTAGGAGGTACTGCGCTGGATTTTGCCGCCGGTGGACCTCTGTACGGGACCATGCCATCTTGAGCACCACCAAGCGCAGCACGCCGCGCTGGCTCCCTTTCTCTTGCAGTCTGACCACTGCCACTGGAAGGTGCGGGCGACCCGCCCTCTGCACCAAGCTGGAAACGCGTGCTCTTGACGTCTCTCACGTCCAAGAAAGACGCTACATCTCCCTGAGCATCCACGTAGCTCTCTTCCATCACTGGCGCCTGCGCAACCGATTTTTTCGAGGCCCTCTTGCTCGAGCTTTCGGGAGCCTTTCGGGTGCTCGACGAAGAAGATTTTTGGGCGCTGGAGGTCTTCGATCTTTCGGCGCCCTCCTCCTTGGAGCCGAGCAAGGGCAAGAGTCGCCTTTGATGCAGCTTGTCAAAGTCCAGATCGACCACGGACATGCCCTTGAGATGACTCGAGCCATGAAAGCTGGCGTGCGAGTACCTGCAATTGACGTGACATCAAAAGGCAGACCAAGTTCTGTCAGTTTGCCTTTCGATTGAGTGACACCATAGCTCCCGCCGACGCACCTGCCGAGTTCGGGGCTCGTCACCACCCTGGACAGTAGACGCAAAGTGCTTCCAGCAGCTTCGTGCAGATCCACACCGACGCCTTGCTTTTGCGCAATGAAAGCAGCATTGTAAGCAATGATGGTCAATAGCTGAACAAAGTTGGAGGCAGCGGAGTTTGCTGGATCTTCGCTCCCGATGATAGCCGCCGCCTTGCTGGACACTGCTACTGCATTCCGCGCCTGTGTCTGATTTTGGGTGGCAGAGTTCCTTTTGTTCGGTGCTACGTCCTGTGACGAACCCGCTTCACTGCGGCCTGCGTTGCCTCCGAGCACAGACGCAAGACCCCAAGAGAAGTGGTTGCCGCCCGGCAGCTGTACGAAAGACTCCAGTGTGGACAGAGTGGACATTGCCAGACTGCTCGGACCTCCACTAGGCGGAGAAGGTGCAGTCAAGACGTCATAGGCAGAATTAGAGAGGTACAAAGATACTTCAGGGCTGCGAGCAACAGGAATGGATTTGCTTGAGCAATGCACCACAATTCGAGGTGAGGTTACTTGAATGCAGACTCACATTCTGCTACGAGACCAGAGCGGACATTGTCGAGCAGTAAGGGCACCAGCGTCGTTGACGAATGCAAAGGGTAATTGCAAGCCGAGGTACGCAGCGACAAGCTCTATGAGCTGAGACGTGTATTCTGTAGCTCCATTGATCGCATCTCTCGGGAAGCGCCGAATGTCAGATGGCATAGGCAAGACGTTTCCAGCTACTGTCCAATCGTGAGCATGAGCTGTTCTGGCATTCGCAAGTGCAGCATTGGCGGCCGCCACGATTCCCCGAGAAGCTGTGGGTGGCGCGCCTCGAGAGTCGAATCCTCCAAGTGAACGCTCGCGCTCTTGATCTGTCGATTCGGAGTGATACCGCTCTCGACTTCTTTGCGCCCGCGCCATGGATAAGATGCTAGGACCGGATGACTGCTGAGTGCCCGCAGCAGCCACGCTTGCAAAGCTCGCCGCTGGCGGGGAGAGTGTGAAGATGGAACAGATTTCCCGGACTCGAGACGCTCGAATCCTGAGTCGAGACGAGATGGGAGTGTTAGACACTGCGCTGCTCCTCCTCGAACACAGCCTGAGCAGCCCGCCGAACCTGAATACTCACTTTCGGAGCTCATCGGCTTGTTGCTCTGCAATCCGCTCCAGACCTTTCACCTGCGCCCTCAACCCATCCAACGAGGCCCTGGTGACGCAGCCAGACATGACGCCTACGATTTGCGATCCAGGCGTGCTGCTGTCGTTGCTCGCACTCGATTCCTGAAGCCAGGGCCAAGCTCCGGGACCAGCCTGGATAGGCTTCGCTACAGTCGACTCGTCTCGATTGGCAGCCAATATCGTCTTGGCGTTCCGCAACATCGACTTCCTTACGTCGAGCGCCTGTCGCCGAGATTCGATGCGCTTCCATTGCAAGGCGTTCGCATCTCGTAAGGCAAACGAGGATCGATTTGCTGAGTCGCTTGTCTGCTGCAGAGCTTCGGCTAAAGCCCGTCTGGACCTCGATGCGACGTTTGCGTACCTATGAGCAGCCACGGATGGGCCGGCTTCCTCCGTCGCATGTTCAGCGCCTGCCTGTAACGTGTCTCCTGCACCCACGACTGGATCCGTAAATGTTGACGCTGATGCCAGGACTTTCGAAGGACCCGACATAGACGCCAAGGCCAGTCTGTTTCTAGTCCTCACGTCCATCTCCCTGCCCGGTCCTCCGCTCGCTAGCCTTTCGCCCTGGGTATACATCGCCTGGCCGGGCGCATATTCAAGGCCAAGCAGGCCGCGTGCCTGCTCAGCAATTGCATCCCTTGTCCTGCTCAAGCGTCTGACTTCATCTCGATGAGCGGATATTCTGGCAGGCAGACATCTGGTATGACAATAGAACTTGTTCTGTTGGGTGTAGCACTGCGAGCAAAGCATCTCTTTCGTCGTCTGTCCTCGATTGAATGTCGACGTCAGCTGTGATCGCTGATGCGACACATCTCGCGAAGCAGCTCGGTGCGAGGAAAGTCGTTTGGTAGAAGCAGAAGCAGAGGTGGATGCACGGGAGACTCTGCTCTCTTCTGGGCTCGCAGCAATTCCTTGGCTTAGGCGATGCTTTCGAGAATTTGCCGAGTCGCCGCTAGCCATCATGCCGACAACGGGCCCGATGCCTCGTATCAGAACGACGATTGGCTGGCTACATTGAACGCGAAATTCTTCCTAGAGTACGATTGGAGGCAAAGGCTGCGCAGTGCTGTGAGGTGTTGGCGATGACGATGAAACGTGTAGACGATGACATTCAAGCGCTGCGATGCATTGTTCAATGTCGGCTAGCAGAGGTATGATGGATGACACTTTGAAAGCGTGTATGTGCTAAGCAGGGTGCTCGTGGTGAAGGGTAAAGGTGATGTACATCAATCGATCGCAGCGCAGCTGCTGAGCAAGGTCTCCATATAGGTCTCCACATGCAGCATCAAAATCACCGTACGGATTCGAGCGCGTGTGCGGTCGCGTGCACCTGAATTCAACGGCTCACGTGACCAAGAAATTCGCGAACGTCCAGGCTGAACAAATCATGCACCTTCAGCTGGCGGCGTTGATTTCAAGTCATTGAGTGATTACTGGGCAAGCTCCGATCAACTTGACGGTGCATCGACAAAGAGTACATTTGATTGATACAATACAGACCTGATGGCCGGAATGCGATGGATGACGTGTGGGCCAATGCCGACGTGGAACACAGCTGCGCGTGCATGACAAAACGAGGATGGTGCGGCGCATTGGCGAAAGAAGAATTGGGCGATGCTGTCCCACATTCCGTTTCCGTTGACTTTTGAAGAGCTGAGTGCGCACAAGACCGCACAAGCTTTCAATCGTCTGCTCTTTCCGTTCGGAATCCCTCCTCGTTCCCCTTTCCTGCAGCTTGATCCGTCTCGAGCCATCCGGCTAGGTCGGGCGGGATTTCCTGCATCTGCACACTAGGCGCCCCATGCAGATATCTCAGCTGTTCCAAACAAGCTATCCTGATCTTCTCCAAGTTGGCCTTTGTATTCTGATTTTCCACTCTAGCCGCCTGGAGGGGTTCGTGGAGCTTGTGGGTCGGCTCAAAGAAGGCGTCGTAGGGAGTGGAAGGCAAGGTATCAGGTATGGAGACGTTGGTCAAGACGGATGTTTCGTACGCCCAACATCGCGCCACGTTGCGAATCGTGTAGCCTCCACCTCCCAAGACCAGCAAGGGCAGTCCAAAAGATTTGACGAATCGAACGCACTCTCCATGCGCAGATATGCTCAAATTGAAACAGCCTAGTCTATCCAATCCCAACGAATCAGCCCCGCACTGCAAGACGATGCTTTCGGGTCGAAAAGAGGTGATGCATGGCTCGATCACTGCTTTGAAAAGCGACACGTAGGATGAATCGTCGATGCCGTCCTGAAGCGGTACATTGAGACAAAAGTGCTTGCCTAGGCCTACGCCGATCTCTGTGAGGGCACCTGTGCAAGGAAAAAAGTCGTTGCCGTACTTGTGAAAGGAGACGGTCAGAACTCGATTGTTGTTGTAGAATGCTTCTTGAACGCCGTCTCCATGATGGATGTCGATGTCAATGTAGAGAACGCGTGGGTGATACCTGTAGTCACGAGGTGCATGAGAACGGTCGAAACATCAGCCATTCAGCGCACTCGCACACATGCACCCCTCACTGACCTCAACAGCTCCTGTATTCCCAACACGATATCATTGACGTAACAAAACCCGCTCGCCTCGTTCTTCTTTGCATGGTGTAGTCCGCCGCTCCAGTTGATGGCAATGTCTGCAGTTCCTGATGTCAGCTTGCGAGCCCCTGCTAAGCTCGCGCCAGCATACGACCTGCAAAAATCGTACATTCCATCGAAAACCGGACAATCGTCTGCAAAATTGAAGCGCGTGAAGGAGGCTGAGAGGGGCGTTGTGGGCGTGGTCCTGGTCGCAAGAGGGATGAAGGGAGAGCAAGCAGGGCTATATGGGTCAGCCAGTCGCGTGCAGACCACGAATCCAACTCACTTGGACAAGAAGTCGATGAAGTCGGAATCGTGAAACCATTCCAATTCTTCCCTCGTGGCCATGCGAGGGCTATAACACTCCATGCGCTCGTGTAGGCCATATCCCAGTACCAATCTGTTCGTCAAAGTCAAGCGAGCAGGTTTCATGGGATGTCGTTCGCCGTAGTGATATCTGAACGATTGAGAACGGCATGGGCAGGGCGCTTCGTCAGACCATCTCAAAAGGAGCGATGCACGATGACGGTGCTGGCGGGACTGCGTCTTGCCAGGGGGGCTAGTCCCTCAGAGCATGTTGTTGTCCAAGCACGTTGTTCCGCAACAGGCAGGGCTCAGAGACTTTGGGCCCATGAGCTGGCGGACCGCCATCTCTCCGCTCTCGTCTTTCCTGTGAATCTGTGTCACATCCGAGACCAGCGCCTTGATGCCCCGAACAGAATGTCTCGTGCTTGCCTTGCCCCATGCTTCCGGTGTGTTGCCTCGCAGCCCCGACATCTGCCTCCTGACATCTTCTCCCTGCTAGGCGCACCCCCGCGTGCATCACTCGCCGTGACTGGCGGCTTTCCCTCTCTGGGCGCAACTTCTCTGCCTTTCCCACACAATCTCATTGGCTGCTGCTCCATGCATACCCTACTCACTCTCCCACGCCCTTTGGAAAAAAATAAGCCACCTTTTCCACCGCATGAGGTTGCACATGCGTCGAGTCGGTCACAAAAGCCGGAGCGGAAGGGGCCTTGTCAGGATCCAAGTAGAATGGAGAGTCCATGTAGGGTGAGATGTAAGAGGAAGATGCGGTGCTAGAGTGGTGCGCATCTATGGAGCGGGAAGTGCCTCGCCCTAGTCGGGGAGTGTCGTACGAGAGGACTACCATGCTGAGAGTGTGGTGGTAGATGACCCACCTCGAGCTGTGAAATAGACGACAGAGAACGCCTAAAGGGCGCAATCGAGCGACGAGTGTGAGATTTGGACGATGCTGGTGCGGGAAAATTGATCGAGTAGATGGATTGATGGATGGTTGAATGGTGATGGTAGTCTGTAAGTGAATGATGGTGAATGACAAGTGAACGACGCTCATGTTTCAAAATTTGGTGATTACTCGATCGCCGTCACGAATTGCGCGCCCAAGGCATATACGGTATATGCGTACATGCGGTGAAGCCCGCAACCTGCACGCGGGCAATTGCTGGACGGTGCGGAGCATGTCGCTCGATCGCTAGCCCGGCCATCGGACACAGCTTCGTCCTCACCATCACAGCCTACGCACTTGCCGCAGACGTCGCATGGCAACACTTCTTGCTGTGTAATTCTCGCTGCGTGGGGCGTCACAAAGCCCTTCGCGAGTTAGGGACGGGTACGACACAAGACAGCAGGCAGAGGCACACCAGACCAAAGCACAAAATTCAAGATACCATTTCGAACTGCGATCGACGACGAATCAAGCACCACTGAAGTAGCACAGCACTGTTCTCGCTCTTTGACAGCTTCCCCTCAGCTAGCACTTTGGCCGGACAAGTCAAGTCTGCCGAGGACGGATTGCGCAAGATGATCACCATCACACCCCTCAGCGTTCCCTGGGCTTCTTCCCAACCCTTCGCGTCAACCACGACCTCTTCAGAGCCCGGCTCCTCCCTCATTCCAAACGGCGCATCCAACAGCGCGGCTTCTACCGAGCGTCCCAAAGCTTTAGCTTACCTGTTGGACATCGACAACGTCAGGATACTCATCGGCTGTGGAGCGCCCGAAGATTTTAGCTTTCAGCGCGAAGACGCAGATGGTGAAGGAGATGAGGAGGCTGCGAAGAGAGGAGCACAAGTCGCAGAAGAGAGGGCGCAAGGAGAGGATGAGATGCAGTCGGATCTGCCAGAAAGGCTCAGAGGTGAAGGTCTGGCTCGCCGCGCTGGCACCGAAAGTTTCGACACGCTATTGGCAGAGTGAGTCACCATTGCCCCCTGCAGGGTTACAAAGTCGTGCTTGCTAGGCAGCGCTGACAATCGCACCGGGAAAATGCGCGAATCAGTCTGGCACCGACGATCGATCTTGTGCTATTGTGCCACTCGACACTTTCTCATCTGGGCTTGTACTCGTACGCCTGGGCACAGCTAGGCCTCAAGTGTCCCGCATTCGCGACCCTGCCAGTATCGAGTATGGGACGCTTGACGGTTCTGGAGGCTGTTGCGGGCTGGTACAGCGAGCTGGGATCCCCCACCGAGAAGATTGGTCGCGACGAGTGGACGGCCTCCGAACATGCTCGCATTCGCAGGTGTCTGACCTCTCCCAGCTCCATCGAAGAATCCTTCGATCAGATCCGAACTGTTCGATACTTGCAGCCCACGTCCCTCGATGGGAAATTAGCAGGCATTACTCTGACTGCCTATTCGGCCGGTCATTCTCTAGGAGGCACGCTATGGAAATTCAGATCCCCCGTCGTCGGAACGGTGATGATCTGTCTAGACTGGAATCATATGAGGGAAAGACACTTGGATGGAACCGCGCTTATCGGAGCGGGAGGAACCAATGCGGGCACGATGGAGGCGGTCCGAAGAGCTGATGTGCTGTTAGCAGATTGCGAACGTGCGATGGTCGTCAACGCGAGGAGAAAAGATAAAGACGCCGCTTTGCTGGGTGAGTGCTATGTGCCAGGCTGAAAAGGCTCTCGTTGACGCGCCAAAGTATTTGCACCCCTGATCACTTTCCGAATCAGATTTGGTACACAACACGATCAGATCAGGGCACAATGTCCTCATGCCTGTCGACGCATCTGCACGTCTGTTAGAGCTCTTGGTGCTTCTAGATGCTCACTGGGCCTACGCCTATCCGAACGTCAAGTTCCCACTCTGTTTGATCAGCCAGAATGGCAAAGAGGTGCTGGAGAGGGCCAGAGCTCTGATGGAATGGACGACCAAGACCTGGGCTGCGAAGCCGAACGAAGAGACGGATTCGGGAAATAAGAAAAAGGGAAAGGACTCGATGAGCCAGCCTTTGGAGTTCAAGTGAGTGTGCGTGCGCGTGCTGGACCTCGACATTTGGAGCTCACTCTGCGCTGGCCACAGATACCTCCGAGTCTTCTCTTCTCTCGAAGCGATGGACACGGCGATTCCTGCCTCGGTGGCCAAAGTGATCTTATCGGTGCCTCTCAGTCTGACACATGGTCCATCCCGAGCCTTACTGGCGCGGTTCGAGAAGAATGTGGAGGACATTGTCATTCTGACCCAGCGTGGTGAGCCGGGAAGTCTAGGAAGGTGGTTGTATGATAGATGGGAATGGGGACAGGAAGAAGGTGCCAAGTGGGGCAGAAGCGCTGTTGGCAAAGAGGTTAGGCTGCAGCAGGATCAGACTTGCGAGATCAAGGTGAGATTGCTCGCGTGAGTATTCCAACTCTTTTCAATACTGACTCGTCGCGCCGTTCTTTGCCTCGCTGCCAGCTTTATGAGAGGGCCTTGTTGACGGGGACGGAGCTCACGGAATATTTGGAAGCTGAACAAGCGGCCAAAGACAAAGAAGCTGCTCAGAAAGCTCTTCGTGCTCGAACCAAGCGACGACTAGAGGCTGATGAAGAGGAAGCTCAGGAGTCCGATTCGGATGCCGATTCGGATGCTTCTTCGGTGGATGGACAGAGAGACATAGATGGTTTGGGCATGGGAGCCGGAGCGACTGGCGAAGCTCCTTCAGATGGGTATGGAGAGCCCGGTGGATCAAGGAAACGGAGAAGGACGGGCTTGAGTTCCGAAAGGGATGTGCGAATGGGAATGGGCTTGAAGGATGGACGAGCTAGTGGATATGCCAAGGAAGCGGACGAGGGTGCAGAAGGAGGGACGAGCGGATTGTCTTATGACATCTACTTGAGAGGCTCGTCTGCTCGTGCGACCAATTTCTTCGGTGCCAATCCGGCTGCTGCTGCTGCTGGCGCTGGTGGAAGAAAAGGGGAAAAGTATGGAGTGGGTGTAAGGTATAGGCTGTTCCCTGTTGTGGAGCGCAAGAGGAGGGTGGATGCGTATGGAGAGACGATTGATATCAGTCGATGGTTAGAAAGGGGCAGAGAGATGGAAGAATTGGCTGGCGATCCTAATTCGGCCAACGGACCCGCTGGTGCTGCCACTGTCAGAGGCGAGAGGTACGAGGACCCCGCAATCAAGGCAAAGAGATTGGAAGCTGAAAAGAAGGCCAAAGAGGAAGCGGAAAGACCACCTGCCAAAATCGTTGGTCGGACCATCAGCTTTCAGCCCACTTGCCGATTCGCATTTGTGGAGATGTTGGGCTTGGCAGATGGAAGAGCCCTGAAGACCTTGTTGCCGCAATTGTTGCCTAGAAGATTGGTTCTGGTCGGCGGGGACGAAGCTTCGAAGATGGATGCTGTCAAGTCCTTCTCTGCCATAGAAGGCATGACCAAGGAAATTTTTGCTCCTTCTTTGGGTCAGTTCATCAGCATTGGAGAGCTCACAACAGCGTACACTCTCAACCTCGGAGAAGGCCTCATGACCAAGCTCAAGTTCTCCAAGTTTGAAGATTACGAAGTGGCCAATGTTCTGGACGCCAAGTTGAGATTCGGGATGGAGAGCAATGTTCCTAGCTTGGAACTACTTTCCCACGAAGCTGACGGTGACAAGGAGAGCGAGATGAACGCGAACGACGAATCGACAGGGGCAACGTCAGGATCCACTCAGACCTTGCTCAAGCGACCTACTAAAGCCATCTCCTCTACTCTCTTCATCGGCGACCTTCATCTGGCCTCTCTTCGTGCCCTCCTTTCCACACCGCCCTTCAGAACATCGTCAGAGTTTGCAGGCCAAGGTTCGCTCATCTGCGGCGTTGGCGCTTGGCAATTAGGTCTCAAAAGCTCTGCTAGCGGAGCCGCCTCTTCCAACGCTAATGGCGGAGAGAATCCGGAACCCAGCGTGTCGGTCAGGAAGGAGAGCAAGGGCAATGTTCTTGTGGAGGGAAATGTCGGCGTAGGCTTTTACAGGGTCAGAGATGCCGTGTACAAGAGCTTTGCTAGAGTCGACACATGACCACGCAATGCATACTCTGCTTGTGAAGTGCTCCAGAGATGAGATACACACACACATTACACACGCATGCATGCTAGCAGTCCCTTGATTCTTTTATAGAGTGACCTGGAGCGAACGTGAAATACCTGTGTGTGGGACAAGAGATGAGCAGGTGATGCTAGCCTGCGCTAGAACAGGTAGGGAAAGGATCACTGCTCGCTCAGAGAAGCAGCGAAACATATTTCCAAAGCGATGACAAAGTCGAAGAGGGCCAAAAGGGGAGGCAAAGACAGAAAGTGTCTACTCCTTCTTCTCCTCAGTCTTGGTCTCCGTTGACTCTGCAGTCTCCTTCTTTTCCTCTTCCTTCTTCTCTGTCTCAGTCGTCTCAGTAGTGCCACCAGTAGCAGGAGGGGCGTCCTGCTCCTTGATCGCACCTCCCTTGGCGCTCGAATTCTTCTCTTGAGCTTCCTCGAAAGATTTCTTGAAGTTGTTGGCATTCTCGCTGTTCGCGAATCGGATGGCGAGCAGCTCGCTAGTCACTTCTCCCTCCGCGATGTCGGCTGCAACGTTGTACACCCATGCTCGGTCAGATCCGAGGTTCGGAGCGAGTTTCATGTCCGATGTGACTGATGACGCGACACGGGATTCCGAGGGTCAGCCAAGGCTCGCGTGCGATACCTAGACGCATCGAGCATCGAGCATCGAGCATCGAGCATCGAGGGGCCTATCTTTTCAGCGAATTAGCGACTCACTGTAGTGGTTCGCGCAAACTTTGAGAGTCTTATCGCGACGCATAACCAGGCGGACTTTGCCAGTCGTCTTGTGGGCCAAGAACCTCACATCTCCAGTACCACGCTCCTTCCACTCAGCCGCGTCCTTGTCAAAGCGGAAAAGTTTGGCACGACTGCGAGATGCAGCCCAAAATAGACCGGATCAGTGACGTTCTTGCGCGACGCGGACGGGAAATCGAATTCGGATGAGTCGATCGGGATGCGCGGACCTGGGCTCAAAGGACACCTTGAGCAGGCTCCAACACTCCCGGCGACCCTTGGACGTCCACCTCGCATGCTGATGCGCCTCCTGCCCATCTCTCATCAAGCACCTGAACAGCCTCACCCCTTTCTCTACATGCGACTCCTGCTCCCTGCTTCAACACTCACAGCTTGAAAGTGACCTCCTCATCCTCTTCGTGCGTCTTGACCTCTACCTGCGTGTCCAGCTTGTGAACAGGCTCAAAGTGAGGGTCGTTGCCATCCCCCTCCTCAGGGGCGGTCTCGCCCTATTGTCTCGCCGCGCAATGCACGAGGAAGCGAAAAGTCCAGAATGAAGATACACCAAGTGTGTCAGCTTGCCGCGTTTCGAACAAGACGAGCAGGTGACGATTGCACAGCATGTCTGCCTTCAAGATATATCGCTCTCCTGTGGCCAGGTGAGCAGCAGACTCGAACTCACCTTGGCGGCCAAAGGGTCGTTAGAAACTTCTGCAGCAGACATGCTGAATTTGTGTTCTCGTCTCAATGCCGAATATCTCGTTGTACAGTCGTATTAGAGTGCTCCTTTGAGCGTGATGTTCGCTGCCGGAGTGTGTGCGCGCTCGTGGTGAACGACGATCGTAAAGGACAAGTGTGTGCGAGATGATGGAACAGCTGCGAACCTCTCAACTGCAACTTGACCTGATGTAGATGCTGTGGCGCCGCCCTTCCTGGTCTCCATCCGTGATCGTCTCAAAACCTTCCAAGGCTCAGCCGACGCGCGAGGTGCGGGCTTGTGCGCATCTCCCCTCTCGCGTGTCTCTCTGCGTGTCGATGTCGATCTCTCGTGATCTCTCTCGTGCGCATCTCACCTGTCGCTGCATGCCTGTTGTGCATGCAAGGCGTGAGGCGTGGACAGCCTCGCCACGTGGCAGAATGCGTGGTGACTGTCAGTGTGTGCGCACGGTGCGCTGTCGAGCCTCGATCGAGCGTGAGTCGTGTGGGGGAGCGCATGCTGCATGCGAACGACACCTCGATGCGTAGGTTCCACCTTCCATTTCACGAGTCGTGATTCCACCTTACACGGCGCGTGAGGCCTATCGTGTGGTCTCCCATCCAGACCTCAACTTGTCCTCACAAGCTACGCGCATCGACCTGAGCGCAAGACCGAACCTCACGAACCCTGTCACGATTCCAGCTCTCTCTATCTGCCGCCTTCGCTTCTGAGGACGGTATTCAGCCATTCAAGGTATTCGACGATCCATCTTTGGATCTGCCTCCTTGCTTGAACAGCCGGGTCGACGTCCCAAACATCGGTCCTCGAGATCGAACAGTCATCACAAACCCAAAATGCGTTCCTCGGCTGTCACCAAATGCAGCTTTGGGAGTCCCTCTCTCTCGATTTGGCTTGCATTCTTTATCGCTTTGCTATGCTGCTTGTTCATCGGCACAAGTACCGCACACATGATCGAATTGCAGCCGAGTCACAGAGAATGCTTCTTTGAGGATTTGAATCCTGGAGATCAGGTGAGTCGGCTTTGAGCGCTTCTGAGAGCTGGATGGGCGTTGCGCTCAGAATGAGGTGCGGCGTGAGAAAGGTGCAAGGTCTTGTAGAGCCGGGAAGCGCGTCAGCATTCTACAATTGGGCGATCTTCAGCTTCTCGGCGTACAGCTTACAGAACGTACGGGAGCCTGGAATCAACTTGTGTCCAAGGCTATCAGGCTGACGTCATGCATAAATTGGCATCCAGATGACTTTGACCTATCAAGTAGGCGGGGGAGGTCACCTGGATATCGATACCTGGCTGCAAGATCCAGCCGGGAACAAGCTCTTCGCTCTCGACAGAAAGGACACTGGCACATACAGCTTCACAGCTCAAAATTCTGGCAAATATACGTACTGTTTCAGTAATGATTTCAGTACTGTCAGCGACAAGACCGTCTCGTGAGTTGAGTCTGTTTGCCATCGCCTAGAGGACGAGCTCGGGCGAATCAAGGCGCGCTCCGCTTCGAAAAGGGTAAAGAAGGCGTGCTGACGAATCGCATTGGTCTGTGTTGGCCCATAGCTTCAATGTGCACGGCATCATCTACGTACCAGACGACGGCGAGATGCTGCCGATCGAACGCGAGATCAGGGACTTGGCAGCAGCGTTGCAGCAAGTAAAGGACGAGCAAGAGTACCTCGTTATTCGCGAACGAGTGCACAGGAACAGTGAGCCAGTGCAAGCAGGTCGTGAGGCGGTGACACTCGCAGCTGACACTGCGCTGCGCTGCTTCGCATCATTAGCCGCCGAATCGACAAATTCTAGGGTGAAGTGGTGGAGCATCTTGCAGGGCATCATGCTCATTGGCGTTTGTGGCATTCAAGTCTTCTTCGTCAAGAGGTGAGTCAGTCTCTGGCCTGGCGCTTGAACAGGCAGTGCTGATCGCAACTACACCTTGCGCTGGCAGACAATTCGAAGTCCGAGGTAGCACTGCCAGAAGCGCCTTCTGATGCGAGCGCTCTGCGAACCGAAATGGTACACAGGATGCAAATTGAGCGTGACAATGCTTGGCGTGTCTATTCCCAGGACAGAGGGTATCGACTGTGCGAGAAGTATTGTGGAGATCCAGCGGCGTGACTGCACGTGGAGCAAGCTTCCAAGCATCGGTGTCCACATGATAAAGGGCACCTTGCTGATTATTGGCTCTCACTAGCGCTTTTAAGCCTCTCCTCTCTGAGCCTCTTCCTCCTCTCCTTGGGCAGCTCTTCCAGATCTTCGTGTCGAAGTCTATCCTTGCCCCACTCTCTCATACCCCAAGCGTGCTGCTCTCCCAACCTCGGCGCGCCATCCTGTTCCTGCTTGACATGTCTGCGCGATGCACTTGAAGATGTCCGATTAGAAGAGATCGTCGAGCCCTACCGAACGAGTTGGTTCGCAAAAGTCAGCTTCGTGCTTGTCGGCTGTCGCGGGGGGGGGGGGGGGATATTGGTATGCACGCAGGCTACTCACGACGAACGCGGCCTCATCGCCAAAATCCTCGCCTTCACCCGAGAGTGTCTTGGAGTCGTAGGAGGGGGAGGTGGTGGCAGCATCCGAGTAGTATTTCTTGGTAGGAGGTGCGTCAGAGACGCTCTTTCGATTGCTCATTCCGCTCCAATGATCCATCTCTTCCTCCAAAAAGGGTCTCCACTGTCGCGTTGTTCGCGAGAGCTCGTGAAGACGCGAAACTGCGCGCTGGTACGAGAAGCGCTCATCTTCGCCTATAGATTCGAGGAAGAAAGGATTGAGCGCGAGGAAGAAATAATTGAGGGCGAGAAGAAAGTGTAGGGACATAGAGTGATCGGAGGCGGACTTACCAGAGAAGATGGCCAAGCTCATGAAATTGCCGTCGCCAGACTTTCGATCCTTTTCTTGCTCTTCGCTCAACCTACCCGGCTCTGCTCTCCGGCCGCGTTTCACTCGCTGCTGCAAATGTTCCAACCCTTCACCTTCTCCATCAGGGTCGAATCCAACGCGCGCGTCCCTATCTTGACCCTCTTTATAACTCCCAATATTGGGTCTGAAGCCCTCCTCTGTGTCCTGCAGCGCCTCGCTCAGCGTCTCGCTCTGAATCAACTGAGAAGAATCGGCATCGATCCCGTCCTGTTCTTCGCGAGCTGCCTCTTCTCGTTCTTTGGGGAAGAATAGATCGTCGGGAGATGAGCTGGCACGAATGACCAGATCGCATCCCGCTTCGTAGATCGCATCTAGGAGCGTGATCAATCTTCGTGCTTGGTTTTTCTGAGCGAGAGAGAGTTGAGGTACCGAGTCGAGGATGATCTGCGATTTGGTAAGATAAAGGTGGAGGCGCAGCATTGAGCGGAAATGAGCTTGGAATTCGTCGTGATTGTTGCACGCACCGTTCTGTAAGTGCTCGCGATGGACAGATAATCAGCCGGTCCAAGGGGCGTGTCGCAAAGATCTTTGAAGGCGAAACGACACGCCGGCGCCTGGGTTGAGGTAGCTTCGTAGGAGAGGGGCACCAGTACTTTCCGTCCATAGACGGGCACCTCTGCTCGTCCACCTACGTGCATGCAGAAATTCCAAGACCGATGTAAGCCCATCGTCGATGCGACTATAACAAGCATGACAACGCACGCACCTTTTCTTTGTCCTACGACGCCCAGCACGCATTTCTCAAATGCCCTATCATCCACACCCTGAACGAAGAAGCTCAGCTCCTTTCTCCTGCTCTCGAACACTTCCCCACCATCCTCTGCATCAAGTTTTTCCTTTCCCCACTCCCTTCTCCAATCCTTTTCTCCTCCAATCTCGATCACCTCGCAGCGCTCTCTCATGGCGTCCAGAAACTCTGTAAGGGCTCTTCTTTGTACATGGTTGGCGAAGAGGTCTTCAGGTAGACGATTAGAAGACGCGATGATGACGCCTCCCAAGAACCTGGGGACGTGGCAAGAAAGATTCGATGAGCGCCCCTGGTTCTTGGAAAATCCAGACATTTGCAATGCTTGGACTTACCAGTACGCAGTCAAGATTTGCCTGAGGAGAGAAGCGGAAGAGACGTCGACGAGCTGCAGCTCATCAAAGAGCAGCACATGACCGTGCTTCAAAAACAATGTCGCCGCGGTATCTGTAGAATAACGTTGTGGATCAGCTAGAGTAGCGTCAACGCGAGCCAACGATGCTCACGCAAGGCCAAGCTACGTTCGGTACCTTGTCCAAGGCCCTGAAGAGCCTCTCCAGGTCGCAACTCTTTCGAATCCAAATCGCTTCCGGCCATGCCTCCACCTCGTTTGCTAAGCACATCAGGTCTATAAAAGGGCATTCCCTCGAGCACCCTCTTCCAAGTCGTTCCTCTACCAGAAGTCATTCGGTCCTCGTCTTCCTCGAGTGCGGACAAAGATGAGGCGGCGTTGGTTGACTTGGTGGACTCTCGCACCCAACGCACCCCTACGCCTCGACGAGGGCCCGAAGAAGAAATGTCTCGAGCACTTGACCGCGCGACGACTTGACCCGAACGCATCGCTTGGCGTTCTTCCCGACGTCGCTCTGCCTCCAGAAAGATCATGCGGTAGATTGTGAGCAGTAGATGATCTATGAACATGTCGGGTTGCGATGATCAGCAGTGCGTTCGTAAAAAACCTTGTGGCTATCCCTACTCACGATAGTGCCGTCTAGGCAAGCGTGGACCAGGATGGTGCACATATGCGCACACGCCCTGTCAGCGAGATAATTCATAAATCGGGTGCGCGTGCGTTGAAAGACGACTCACCTGAATTTGCCGCTCACAGCCAAATGCTCGTACCAAGTATCGAGCAGAAAAGTCTTTCCTCTGCCAGGCGGACCGATGAGGATCAGACCTCTGGGAGTGTCCAGATCTTTCAGGGACTGAGACTCGGACAAGTACTGAACCAAGGCTGTAATGTTCTCCGCGGTATCTTCTGGCTGATCCGAGCTGGGACCTGATGTAGTGCCGCTGCTTGAAGGCGAGAAGGAAGCGGTAGAGAGACGTGAGAGCAAATGAGCTGGAGGGGTGTAGTCTTGCAGTCTACGCGTGAGGTCTCGTAGCTTGCATTGGGAAAGCAAGAGGTTCGCAAGAAAGTTTGACGCTTCAGCTTTCATGCAGGGTGCGAGCCGTCCGAACCTGCGCACTGACTTTGACCATCACTCTGATCTGCTCGTCGTCCTTTCTGACGAATCCCCTCTCCACCAATGAAAGATAGACATCCAAAGGATCCGTGCTGCTCAGCTCCGTCGTGCTCGTTCGTGCCGAGTGTGCTGTACTTTGATTTGTGCCCTCCAGCGCAGGCGCACGACGCTCACGTTCGCTCGGCGCGTATGACTCTCCTGGACGTGTGCCCGTGTAGGCTGAAGGGGAGGAGATCGATCTGACTTGAAATGTCTGAGCGAGGCGGTATGTATGCTGACATTGACCATCTGCGAGCCGATACGAGCTATGGGGCGTAGCGTGAAAGCTGCGACTTCGCTCGGCAACCAATCTTGCTTTGATCTTCCACGACTGAAGAAAGGGTTCGAAGCAGATGAGAGGTCGAGATGACATGACCATCGAGCTGGGCGCCCCGCAGACCTTTCCGCTAACGGGCCTTCGAACAGACAACATCTTCTCACAACTAGCGCCTGGCCGTTTGCTCAGTGGGCACACTTCGTCCCACAAGGTAGTTCGATTGAGGTGATGGCCGTGGATACCTTAGCTTGGAGCCGAGAAGCGACAGCTGTGGGCTGCAAATGGGTCGACTCGCAGTCTGAGTCACGAATGAAGAGAGGAACGTGAAGCATGTCAATCTTCGAGCAAAATCACAATCAAATCTTGAATCGTCGTGCAACGACGGGTACGCAGCACAACAACTCGTTACTTGTCTCCGCTTGCTTAGCTCATTCACGGTCCAAGCGTCGTGCACGGCGTGCATAATTCGCAGGCAAACCTCCACCTGCATATAATTGGAATCCGCCTTACTTTGATCGACGACTGTCCGCTACAACGACGACTCGAGACTAGGATGCGCTAGAAATAGCGTCATCATCATCACGTGATCGCTCTTCCACGGTCATGAGCACGCGCGCCCGCGCGTAAATGGCAGGCGTCCACGCGACGCGTCGAGACAGACCCCAGGCGTGTGCTACGCTACGCGTGGAGCGGTGTGCCTTTGTGGTAAAGCGCGGGCTCGGTGCCTTCACGTTCAAATCGTCTCGCATGGAACCGACACCAACGGCGAGAGACGTGCTGCATATATGTCAATACATGAACAGCCAGGCAGGCTTTGGGGCCACGTCGTGAACCATCATCTCTCATTCCGCATACGCGAATCTCGAGCCGAGAGCCGAGCCAGGCCCAACATCAGCCCCGTCATCGAAACCTGTTCCTCGTCTTGACACGCATACCAGGCTCCTGCGCTCACACTTCATCCAAGCTTGGCACCCCCTCTTGCTCTGGTCTGGTCAAGAGAGCCTTCACTCGACGTTTAGGCGTATGAGGAGCAGCAGAGCAGGGACAACAGCTTGGCCGGTCGTGCTTGAGACAAACTTGTGTGAAGATGCATATCAAGGTCAGATGTCAAGATGTCGCCCTCCATAGCTATCGACTTGGCTTTGCTGACTATTTCGAGCCCGCACGCCTACAGACACTCACGATCCAGGGCTTCAAGTCCTATCGTGATCAGACGGCCATCGATGAATTGAGGTGCGTCGTCACCGAGCAGCTCATACTGCTTTTCAAATCGCTGATGTACACCCGCTTTGCTGTGTAGCCCTGGGAGCAACGTGGTGGTCGGTCGCAATGGAAGTGGCAAGTCAAACTTTTTCTCGGGTAAGGCAATGGCGCGCAGAGTTTCTGAGTGCGCAAGGTCTTTTGCTGAACATCCTGACCTTGATCTTTCGTAGCGATTCGATTTGTGCTATCCGACGCGTACACGTCCATGTCTCGAGAGGAGCGACAAGCGTTGCTTCACGACTCTTCCTCTTCGACGTCCACGACGCTGAGCGCCTTTGTCGAAATCGTCTTTGATAATAGCGACGGCAGATTTCCAGTGGCTGCCGGTACCAGCGGCTCCAACAGCGACGAAGTCATCCTACGCCGAACCATTGGATTGAAGAAGGACGAGTACAGCATTGATAGAAGGAGCGCGAATAAGGCGGATGTAGCCAATCTGTTGGAAGCTGCTGGCTTCTCTAGAAGCAATCCTTATTACATAGTGCCTCAAGGTCGAGTGAGTCAAAAGCTGGTGGCGCTCTACTATTCGTTCTTCGTGCTGTCTGCGCTCGAGAACCCGCGCTCAAACTTCTGACTGCGCCCTCGATAGATTACGAACCTTACCAACATGAAGGACAGAGAGCGTCTCGACTTGCTCAAAGAAGTGGCTGGAACGCGCGTGTACGAGACTCGACGGGCAGAGAGTCTCAAGATCATGGAAGAGACGGGTGAGAGAGCGAATGGTGCATACTGATGGCTTATCGTGCAAGCTAATGCGCGCAAAGATCGGTCTCAGACTCCAAGCGATCCAAAATCGATGATCTGCTCAAGTACATCGAGGAGAGGTTGGCCGAGCTGGACGACGAGAAGGAAGAGCTTCGCCAATATTACGATAAGGATAAGGAGCGTCGCTGTCTCGAGTATGCGTTGTACTATCGCTCTCTGCAGGATCACGTCGCGAAGCTCGAAGAGGTGAGCTCGCCAGGACGCGTCAGATTGGAACCTTGCTTATCATTCTAGTCGATGCTCGCAGCTTGAGGAGAAGCGTCGCGGAGAGGCGGAAAGCAGCACCGCGAAGCAGCGAACCTTCAACCAACGCGAACAGACGCTCGCAGTGAGTGTAAAGTTCCAGACAATGAACGCAGCTAAGCTTACACCTTGCGTGACTTGCTCGTGACTTGCTTAGTCGCTCAAATCGGAGTTGCAAAGTCTTCAGCAGGAGGCTGCGCAGTTGGAAGTGGAGCAGACGACTGTTCGAGACGAGAGGCGCAGCTTGATCAGGATCAGAGCTACGCTTGAAAGTCTGGTGGGAGATGATGAGGAAGAAGGAGGAGAGGCTGAGCGCTCCACTTTGGAAGCCGCTCTTAGAAGTCTGGACGAGCGCATCGCTGCAAGCGAGGCGGAGCTTATCAATCTGCTGCCCGCATATGAGGAGAAGAGACTTGAGCTCGAGGAAGCTCGCAATGAGTGAGTTGACAACCGATACGATTGCAGATTTCGTCGCTGAACCCGATATGTCGGTCGCGTAGACTCGAGCAGATTCGCAATCGTATCAACGTTCTGTTGGGTCGTCAAGGACGTAGCACTGCGTACACTACTCAAGCAGCTCGTGACGCAGCTCTGCGAGCAGAAATAAACTCGCTGCAGCAGCACGTGCAAAGAGAGACGAGGCGCAAGGCTGAGCTGCAAAGCGAGCAACAGGCCGCTAACACGGCTTTGCAGGAAGCTCGGAGCGGACTCGAAGGCAAAGCTGCGCTGCTCGAGGAGAGAAGAATCTTCAACCGCGAAGCGGCGCAGGAGTGGGAGAAGCTCAGCTCGAGAAGAGAGGAGTTGCTAGAGCAGAAAAAGTGGGTCTAGCGTGCTGAGGCGGCAGGAGAAGCCCAATTGCTGACGAAGTGTGAACGCTTGGCAGGGGACTTTGGAAAGAGGAGACCAAATTGAGCTCCACCGCTACTTTCGGAAGCGAAAACCTCGCTTCGGCGAGGCGCGCTCTTGCTGGTACCATGGGCAGAGTGAGTCCCGTGAGGGCGTGAGTTCATGATCGCTAGCTGCTCAATGCTTGAAGTGCTTCCTTTCCAGGCGACCGCTTTGGGTTTGCAAGCAGTCGAAGATGTGGCGAAGCGTCACAAACTTGAAGGCGTATTTGGACCTCTCTATCAGCTCTTCGCGGTCGACGAAAAATATAAGGTCGCGGTCGAGACCACTGCCGGTGAAAGGTAAGCTACCGTGGTCATTGACTGCAGACGCGCAATGATAGAGCAAGCTGATCAGGAGACATCCCTAAAAATAGCCTGTTCCACATAGTCGTGGACACGGATGAGACCGCTACGAAGCTCTTGGATGTGATGACCCGAGAGAAGCTGGGACGTGTGACCGTCATCCCACTCAATAGGATCAAGCCTAAAGAAGTCAACTTTCCTCAGGCGGCTGATGCAATTCTCATGATCAAGAAACTCGAGTACGACAGAAAATACGTGGCTGCATTGCAACAGGTGCGAAGCACGAACAATCTTCTTGCGTGTTCCTCGACGTCGCTGACGCGCGATCTATCATCCAGGTCTTTGGCAAGACCATCATTTGCCCTAACCTGGAGATTGCTGGCGCCTACGTGCGCAGTCACGGCTTGAACGCCATTACGCTGGATGGTGATCGGGTCGAGCGCAAGGGGTCTCTGCACGGAGGATATCATGACCCGCGCAGGTCGCGTCTGGACGCGGTGCGAGATGTCAAGAAATGGCGCGAAGTATACGAAACCTCGACGAGCTCGTTGAAAGAAGTCAAGACGGCCATCCAGCAGGTTGAGCAGGAAGTGGCAACGATCGAAGGGTCGTTGCAGAAGCTCAAAGTGCAGAGCATCAGAGCTGCCGCGACGAGGGATGCGCTCATTGCTGACCTCAGCGCCTTGCGAGAAGACGAGGGCAATGCCAGACGAAGAATGGAGCACCTACACGATGCCGAGGCTGGCGTGGAACGCGAGATCGACGCCGCTAGACTCAAGGTTCAGGCGCTTCAGCAGGAATTGCAGACGCCATTGAGTGCTGGTCTGAGCAATCAAGAGAGCGCAGAACTGGATCAGCTCAATGCTCGTCTGGACGCTCAGCGTCAGGTAGTTGCCGAACAGTCGGCCACCCTCAGCGAGGTGAGTCAGAGATGGACCCTTGGGCGTGCAGAGGGGCGGCGGCTAACCCCGTTTGAAACACTGCAGCTGGCTAGCCAGAAGCGCTTGCTGGAGATTGAGCTGGACGATAATCTCAAGAGAGAAAGAGACGGTGCAACTGCTCGACTGGAAGCTCTGAATGCTCAGAATTTGCTCATCGCTGGCGAAGCTGGTGCCGCTGCTGGTGCCACGAGCGCCGAGAGCCGAAAGCGAGAATTGGCAAATGTGAAGCGTCAGATTGGCAATTGCGAGAAGCGCTTGACTGGTGTGTATCGGTGGTCTCATCTGCAGGATTGTATGCCACTGACTCAAAATAATCCCTACCCATGCCGCCCTTCGCCCTTCGCAGCTTTGGAGAAGGAGCAGGACGAGTTGCAAAAGAAGGTCAAGGCTGCTGAAGAGAGGCACGAGAAGACGCGGTCAGAACAGGTTGCTGATGCTCGAGAGATCGAGCGCGGAGAAAAGAGTCTGCAGCGCTACCTGTCTCAGAAGCAGATCTTTAGTCAGAAGCGCGACGAGGAGAACAAGAACATTCGCGATCTCGGTGTCTTGCCGGACGAAGCCTTTGAAAAGTATCTGAAGACGAACAAGGACAAGGTGCGCGCGTGGTGGGCTTTGATCTTTGCGTTGGGGTAGAGCTGACAGCATCCCTCGTTCTGCTAGATATTGACTCGCCTGCACAAAGTGAAACACGCCCTGAGCAAATTCTCAAATGTCAACAAGAAGGCGGTGGAGCAGTACAACAATTTCACGAAGCAGCGCGACCAGCTCTTGCAGAGGCAAGAAGAGCTGGAAGCGTCCGCCTCTTCGATTCAAGAGCTCATAGAGGTGCTAGATCAGCGCAAGGACGAGGCAATCGAGAGGACCTTCAAGCAGGTCTCCAAGTACTTTGCGGAAGTGTTTGAAAGACTTGTGCCAGCTGGCAAGGGTCGCTTGATCATGCAAAAGCGTATCGATGAGGTGAGTCACAAGACGCAAAGGTCGATTTGGGGAAAACATGCTCACAGGTAACGCGGCAAATACTTCTTCAGCCTGATGACATGGACGAGGATGAGGATGGTGCGGAGAAGAGCACAGTGGAGAACTACACTGGCGTGTCGATCAAAGTCTCCTTCAACAGCAAGGTCGACGAGGGTCTGCGCATCCAGCAGCTGTCTGGTGGTCAAAAGTCCCTCGTTGCTCTGGCGACTGTCTTTGCCATCCAAAAGTGCGACCCGGCTCCCTTCTACCTCTTTGATGGTGAGTACCTCGCGCCAAGGCACGCGCGCGAATCGTGCTGAAGCCTGCTGCACGTCCATCGCAGAAATCGACGCGAATTTGGATGCGCAGTACAGAACGGCTGTGGCTGCAATGATCAGCGAGCTTTCCGAATCGGCCCAATTCATCACGACGACCTTCAGGCCCGAGATGGTCGCAGTGGCCGACAAGCACTACGGAGGTGAGCCGTGGCGACTGGATGCTGGGCGATCGACGATTTTCCTGACTGGTCTTCTTTGTGCTCCGTCCATCCCTAGTGCTCTTCAATCAACAAAAAATTTCTTCGATCAGGAGTATCAGTCAGGACGAAGCAGCCACGTTCGTCGAGGCTGCCGCAGAGGGGCCCCAACCGCCCAGCGCGCGATGATCTTGCTCGCGCAGCTCGAAAATAGTGTTGCTGTTGTTCTGTCGTCCTTTTGTACCCTAATCGTGTTTCTGCCCACTGATGATGTAAAGATGGTGTTCTGAAGCTGAAGTGCATACTTGTGGATGGGTGCGACGCAGCGCAAGAGTCGAGTGATCTGAGTGTCGATTCGTCGGGTTGTGGTGTGATGCTGTGCGCTAGCATCCATCATGTCGATTGCTTGCTAGAAACATCGCTTGCCAAAGCGTCAACAAGGCCCGCAGCCGAGCCTCCCCTGCGCGTGCCCATCTTTGATCTTCATGCGCCTCTTTTCCCTCCTCTCGAAGCGCTGCTGCGCGCCGTTTCGAGAGCTCCTCGCTTTGCACGGCCATCGAGAGTCTGAGATTCTGCAACGCAGCGCTTCAACAGATCCAATGCGCTCCTGACCAAATCGTCCATATGAATCGCATGCTCCCTCGAGCGCGTAGCCGTCTCGGATCGGCCTTTGGTGTCACTCTGACTGCTCACTGCTGCCCGCTTCGACTTGTGTACTTCTCCTTCTTGAAGTGTGGGAGGAGGCGCGGATGGACGATGACGTTCAGCGCAGATGGCACGGGGCCGGATGACCAAAAGAGCGCCTGTGAAGGGACGGTTCACCGGGCGTCAGCTCCAACCACTTCACATCAAAATGGCACTCTACGCAAGCAAAAGCCACGCAGCTCACCGTCCAGACACCTTGTATCTGCAGCATCCATATCCCTGGCAGCTGTCCAAACAGCACGATACACCCGCACTCGTCCTCTACGTCTCACTGTCGCCAATCTGCCGAATTCCTTGATAGTCGTGATGACGATGAGTCTAAGTAGAGGCGAATCATTCACATCTTTTCCCTCTCTGGCCCTCTTGAAAGCTTCGTACTGTCTCATCAGCTTTCCAGTAGCCCACGCAATGTCGGGAGGCCAAGGAAGGTAGCTAGGATACTCTCGATCTTTCTCCATGCCGTCGCCTCCGCGCGCAAACCTGTTTAGATGCAACGTGACTTGTCCAAAGGGCACAGCGTCGATTCTGACTGTCCGGCCTCGTCGCTGGCGAGGAGTGCTGCCTTGCCGTTGCTGTGCGTCGGCCTCCTGACTCGAATGGAGAGGTGTGCATTCGTCTGAGCTTGCGCATGGAGCACCATTACCGCTCCAGTTTTCTTCAAAATATCGCGTGACCGAGTAACGCTGTATTCTCAAGTGTTTCGCCTTCTCCGCATCTTTCAACTCCGCGCGCGACTCTGCGCGTGCCCGTTTGGACGCATACACCCCGTCTAGACCCAATGCTGGAAATTTGTGCGTTGAAAAGTCTTCTTCTGGTAAGAGCGTCTCGTCCGGCTCTGGCCGGCCCGCGCTCGACGAAGCTCGCATTGGTGAGCGCTGCCCGTGCGAACGTACGATTGCTTCTGATCTGCGTGTCGTCGACCACAAAGCATCCAAGGCACGACCGAACGACGCTCGGTAGGGGATTTTGGCGATGAACATGGCTGGGCACCTATTCATCACTCGACGTTCTCTTCCTCACTGCTTTTCTGGCTCTCTGGCTTCTCAAGTCATCTTCACATCCACGGTCTGAGCGGTAAAGCCGAGAGATTGGCTTGCCATCCTTCAGGCAAGGTCGTATAAGGACAGCTGGAGGCTGGGAGCGAGAGATTCACGAGTGTGATACGTCGTCGGGTGCAAGAAGCACGTTTGACGCGCACTAAATGACTTGCACTCAAAATTCGACTTCGTGACTTGACTCTTGACTCACGACTCAGACTCGAACTCGTGACTTTTGGTGCAAGACTGATAATGCATCACGTGACTGAATCCCGTCACCTGCTCATCGATCATGCACCGTTCACATTCATTCAATTTGTTTCAAGACACGGATCCTGTATAGTCCTTTTGAGCGCTCTCGATGCCAATCCGAGTCTCACTGGCAAGCCTCATGACTGATTCGTGACGGGCGGAGATGCGCAGAGGGCGACCTGCAACCGGGCCTGTGCAGGGGCCACGGCTGGTCTTATGTCAAGCAGGAACGTGGACGAGTTGATACGGCAAGCAGCGCAGCAGTGTATTGCACTCGTATTGATCTTGTAAAAAGAGATAAAAACCTCCAAGAACTTCTTGGGCCGTAGCGCCTTTCTTTGGCCCATGCCCAAGACGGGCGATGCAGCACTCCTATCAACCCTCGCAGCTGCCTTAGCACCGCCGCTCTTTTACACGTTCGCTCTCTCTTTTACTTTTACTTTTCTTTCTTCTCCTCCTTTTCCCTCTTCTCGCGCTCCTCATCGCTCTCATCCGTCCAGTTCCAAACCTTGCTAAACTCTCCCTTGACCAAGCTCGTCCCCAGGATGGCTCCGACGCAAGCCGGAGAGAGGTATAGCAGGGCAGGTTGAGCAGCTTGGAAGAAGTGCATGACTCCCATAGTCGTGGAGAGGCCGAGGATGTAGGCCGTTAGGCATGCGACAAAGTAAGGGCGCGCAAAATGCGTGCGCGTTCGGCTTGTCGGGTTCTGTGCTCGGTGCTGCTGCAGGTCGAAGCGGAGAGCCAGGGCGATAAAGATGCCTGTGAAAACGCAACATGCCGATTGAGCCAAGATCCTCTGCGCGACGGTCGCACACTATCACGCCACGAATCCTGCTCACCGGGAATTACAATGTCCCCAAGTCCAAGCATCGTCAACTGCCACTTGGGCTGAGGAGCGCCGCTAGCAATCTCCCACACTCCCTGAACAAAATTTTTCGGCCAGACAATCTTGATGGGCCCATCGAAGCCTCGCGCCACACTGACCATGACGTCGGTGCCAAAGACCCAGAAGATGTCGTAGAGGAACAAACCGCCAAGCATGATGGAGCCCGTTCGAAAAGAGTCCAATGCCATCAGGGAAATGGCATTGTGGGAGAGCGAGAGAGCGAGAATGTTGGATAGAGCCCAATGACGCGTCCAAAGGTAGAGGCCGACGATGATGCCGCTCAGCGCCAGCAAGGGTAGCTGCAGGATGGAAAGGCGTCCGACAAAGATTTCTGTTCGGCAGAGCAAGTCACGAGTGCATGGTGAGCGGTCTGGGCACCCCGCAGAGTCGCATCGTTTGCTTGCTCGGACTCACCCTCGCCTTCCTTGTCCTTCTTGCTTTGCGAGCGTGTCTTGACATTCGAACCTTGCTTGCTAGCGCCAGCCGAGCGATTGACTCTGAGTTTATAGGAAGTAAAGTTATTCCAAATTGCCTTGCCGAGAACACCTTTGGCGATGGCGCCGAAAGTCTGAAACGTTGGTGGGAGAATGTCAGTCATCTCCGACGCGACGAGCTGCAAACTAGCGGCGTGACCGTGACCTGCTTTCGTCGCGACGGGCGCTTACCTTCCACACCGCCAGACCACCCACAACTCCAAAGTAGGCGCCAAGTACCAGATCGACGTACTTCTTGTCCACATATTTGAATACGAGATACATGCTGAGGAGCACGGCGCTACCGAGCACGGGGAACATCCAAGCTTCTTCAGAGGTAAGAGTCTCGGTGTGCAGACCTTCTTGGTCCTCATCGTCATCTACATCAGAGTCCGAAGCGTCTGCAGCATCTTTGATCGCCTTGGACTTGGGCGCCTTGGATGGCGGCAGAGATGCGAATGAGCCGTGATAGATTGGCACTAGAGCTCCGGCCATTAGAGCCCCTGTGTAGAGCGTTGAGTGTTCAGTCCGAATGCTGATTGGACTGTACAGGAAGCGATACGAGCCTACACTCACCATACGCAAGGAATAGATCTCTGTCCGACATGACTGCAGCGCGTGCGTGCAATGCGAGGGGCTTATGTGTCCTTTGTCTGAAGCCCTTCGTTCAGGCAGTGGCAGATTTACCGGTGGTGTTCGGATGCAATACTGTGGGGTCGATGTTCTGGCAGAAGAGGCGACGGGTGCTTGCTTGCTCTCACAGCAAAGTCGACGCTGCGTTTCAGTAGTAGTCTGGCGCAGTCGGGCGGAATCTGCGGCAAATGAAATTGTCTCGTTCGCGCTGGCGCTTCGACCCGCGGTGCGTCTTTTCTTCTTTCCCGTTCAAAAACAATCGCGATGACTTGTCCAGTATATGCTAGCGTGGAGTCACTCGGTCTGAATGAGTATGCTGGCCGCGATGGGTCGGACGGGCGTGCGCAGTTCTTGGACCCACTGACAATCGTGCACACCAAGACCGATGTGGTGCTTGCACTGGAGACGATGAGCTTCAAAAAGTATTGTGTCTATCAGAGGAACGAGAGAAGACGACCGCGAATGACCATGATCGTTTGCGAATGTCGCCGTGTAGTGTGAGGAAGCAAACTTGAATTCTTGAAGTTATCACAATGGCTGGATATTCGCGTGATTCTATATGCAGCTTGATCGACCGCGGTCTGTGGTCGTCTCTTCCACGCTTTGCCGGCATGCTGCTGCTGGTGGGCGTCACCGCCTGCTGCACGCACGTCTCGCTGCATGCTGCTGCTCGCACCACAAGACGCCCACGCAGCAGCACGTATACCGCGAAGTCTTGAGTGCATACCCAAGCGCCCGCGCTGATGCAGCTTATTTGCTGGAGAGACGTACGGACAAACACGTGACTCAAGCACTTTCGCGCATCGCGCAAGGTGTTGGTTGTTCTTGCGGAGAGCAGTCATTCAAACCGATTTTAGAGAGTGACGAGTCAAAAAGTAGTCTTGAATTTGAATGCAAGCTTGCGGGCCTCACAAATTGCCTCTCGAGCTTGCAGAGACCACGAATCAAAATGCTGACTCTTGATTCGTTTCGATTCACGATTCACGTCATTTGGCGTGTTCGCTTTCCGACAACACTCTTCGCTCGTGACTTGTGACTCGGAAATTCATCATCCCGAGCTATAGGCTGCTTCTGCGGACGACCGCCTCGTAGACCATGCGACCACCAAACGCATCTCTGCATCGACTCACCGCGATCCCAACGTCTGAAGTGGAAATAGAATAACACAAGGACGTGAATCGAGAACCTGCTTGGGTTGTTCAAGCGTCGTGACAAGTCTTCGACTTGAGACTCAGAGGTCCGTAGTGACTTTGAAAGGCTCGAAGTTGCTGTATACATCGTGCCTGCACCGCATCGAATCAGCTATACATGTACCTATCATTGTATAAGTACCGACGATGAAGCGTCCGCATGAGTCTTGACTGATCGGCTGCATGGCCTGCATGCGATCTTAAGCAATCACGATGAGTCTTGCGATCGAGAGATGCCGGAGCGATTGTTGTAAATCTTGAATCTGAATGAGATTTGGTAGGAATCGTCAATGATTGATGACTCAAGAGTCACCAATGGCGCAAGGTGAGACCAGCCAAGAGTCTTTATTGATGGGTCGAGGTGAGATGCTCGATCCATATATACACGGTATATCTGTGCTTGGCATCTCAATCCTATACTCAGCCATCGCATGCGATCGGATCAGGAGCAGTCTAGCGCCATGCATTCAAATAAGTGATTCACTGCCGGCCAATCCCGGTCCGCTGTGCTTGTTGCCATTGTGAGAGGTGGTCGTAGAGCGTCTTGTTGCCCTCAGCAGGTATACATACTTGCCGTTCTATACCATTTCGACCATTCACAGACTGCGCTACCGGTGAACCTTGTACAGTCCGGCGCAGTAAGCTGCCCTGCCCAATGCTTGACGTCACACAAGGCTATGGCTCTGGCGCGGCTACTCGAGCAGACAGAACGACCCTTGACCACTGCAGAGGTCTAATCAGAATGGAAAATAGTCGAGTCTCCGCCCATAAGGAGGTGTGGCGTAACCTGAAAGGATCTTCGATTCGCTATATATACCTGCGGTACACCGCATGTATCTATCAGGTCGCACGCAGACTTCGCACGTACGTAGCAATCCCAATCAGCACCGCAATCACGACTACTCGTGACTCCTGAATGACCCACGTAGGAGGCTGGCCCGCGAAGACGCGGAGCGGATGAGCATCACATCACCTACGCCAGCATCTTGTGCGTGGCGGCCATGATCAGTCGGTGAGTGCATGCTGCCGATGTTGCGCATGTTGATGTGGATGCAATCGTGAATACAAGATCAAAGGGAGCGCGCGCACGGGGCGCCTTGTTTGGCTGTGCTGCCCTGCTATATATATATACAAAATGCTCTTGCTTCCGCATCGTCAATCGTGAATGTGAATGTGAATCGTGCTGAACTTTGAATCACGAATCAAATGTGATCGAGTGAATCAGGCGAATGTGAATCAAGAATCTGAGTCAATCGACAACTCTTTCTTCTGCTGTGTTGCTGCTGCTGCATGCAGCGTCGATGCATGTGTACATCGTGAATCACGAATGCAGGCGCTAAGAGCAGAAGAGAGTCGGTCGGCGTGCAGAGCTAGCTAGGACTCTTGCATGCTTCGCGATCATCCTCCTCGCGGGTGAGCTCTTCCGGTGACAAGGAAGAGGATGACTTTGGTGCACACGATCGAGTAGACTGGGAGCGGCCGGTCGCGTGACGATTGCCTCGCCTCTATCCTTGCTCTTACATACCCTCCACCATTCCACCTCCACGCGACTTCACTCTGCTCGGCCCAGCTCGACTCTTGGTCTGCCTCGCTCCACAAAGGGCTTAGCAGAACGTTGCTACTGGCACTTTTGCCGCCCCTTGGACGCGTTCTCTCGCCGCCTCAAAAGTTGTGACTCCAGCAGCCGGGTGTACCGACCACCGTTGTCATCATGGTTCTGCTGACGTACGATTCGCTGGTGTTAGTACTGCAGCACGGCACCTCTACCGATCGCAGTCGGCTGAATTTGGCCTCGGAGCAATTAGAAATGTGGGAATCCTCCGATCCCAGCATCTGGGGTTTATTCTTGCACATTGCATTCTCCAGAGGAACAGCAGGTTCGACGAATCGTTTGAGGCTGGATGGTAATGCGGTGGCATATGGTGGGACTGATGAAGAGGCTCAGATATTGGCTGTTAGACAAGTGGCCATGATCCGATTCAAAAATGGAGTGGACAGGTTTTGGAGGAGCAGAATGGTCAATCGCACCACCGTCACCATCCCGCAAGAAGAGAAGCAGAGGTTGAGGAGCAAGTTGTGGGACTGTCTGAACGAACCTCATAGGACTGTAGGTCGATCGGTGGATGCTGGGTTAGCCCGGAGATGCCGCACTTTCTGATCAGCTTCTCCAACATGCATACACACACACACACAACAGATCGCTCTGCATGCTGCAGTGTCCATCAATAGGATAGCAAGGCATGACTACCCCACACACTGGGAAGGCTTGTTTGACGAGCTGCTGCAGCATCTTTCCAACGCTCATTCGGAGCAGGCTACCGCTTCGCAGGAACTAGGGCCGGACTCGGAGAGAGCGAGAGCGGCCAGACTGAGGCTTTTGAGGGGTAGCGATGTCTTGCAGAGGGTGTTGAAGGAGCTAGGCACAGTCAAAATGCTTGCTGGTAGGATACGGATGACCACTGTGAGTACCTTTCTTGTGGGGAAGAGAGAGAGAGAGAGAGAGAGAGAGAGAGAGAGAGAGAGAGAGAGAAAGAGGGAGAGGACGTGGCAGTCTTGCTGACTCCTTCCCGCCCACGTCGACTGGAGCACAGCTGGCCAAATCTTTGCTAGGCCCTCTCAGCTCCATCTTTCATCAATACTTTGTCGAGACGTTCCCATCCGAGCCCGAGAACTTGTCTGCTGCCGAGTTGGCAAGCTGGGCTTCAGGCGTCCAGTTAGCGGATCGAGTGCGCACTAGTCAACTGCTCCTCCGAGCGGTCATGCACTTGACCTTGGCAGATCCAGGTCTGCTGACCGTCTCGACGACGAGCGAAGGAGGATCGAGCGCAAACGTGGCGATGCATATATTCGCCTCTACGCCAACTCTCCTCTCTTGTTTATCCAGCACCAGACTCTGCTATCTGCGGCTCTACCGCAATGCGACGTCTTCGGAACAAGCTGAGCATCTACCTCTCCTCACAAACCTCACAAAGCACTTGCTAGGCTTCGGCAAGTTGTACTTGGCGCTGATCGGCAAGGACAGAAGCAAAGCTGCGAGATGGAGTGGCTGGGACGACCTTATCCTTTGGTATTGGTCACAAGCGAGGAGCGTCGACGATGAAACGCTGTCCGTCTCAAGGGACACAGCTACCACCTCCCCCGAAGCGCTAGTTTTAGATCGACCTCCAAAATTCGTTATACAAGCGCTGATGCTCTTGAAGCAGACGCTGACAGAATGGAGAGGCAACTCGACATCGGACAGCAAGACGGACGTCATTGCACCCCCGCCTTTCAACGATGCCAACTTTCTCACGCGCGTGGCGGATACGCTCGTCGAGAGGCTCATGAGGCTGACGAGGGACGATTTGGAAAAGTGGCAAACTGATCCGGAAGAATGGGCAATTGGGGAGAGCAACGAGTCGATCGATTTGGACATTCGTCCAGCTGCCGAGAGGACGCTGATGGTGTTGGCAAATTATTCAAGGCCAAAGAGGCTGGTCGGAGAGCATCTGTGGGGCAAATTTTTGGCGCTCGGAAATGCTACCTCGGTCGGTACGGGAGACTTGGGCCAGATCTTGATTCGCGATGCCGTGTATGCTGCGGTCGGAAGGTGTCGGGATTACCTACCGAATCAGGATCAAGATGGTCTGCCTGCTGACGAAGCGCATTCAGCAGCCGATGTGAGCTCAGCAGCTGCAGAGAGGTTAGTATCCGAAGGGATGCTGGACGCTTCGGCAGGTCCAGCTTGGATCATCATTCGACGCAGGATTGCCTGGATATTGTGGGAGTGGTCAGAAGAGATCAGAATACCGCACCGACCTGCCGTTTACGCGGTACTCGTCTCCCTGCTAGAGGATTCCCCGGGAAGGACAGATGTAGCTGTGCGCCTGGCAGCTGCGAAGTCTTTGGGCGCACTAGCGGACACGCTGGAGTTCGATGCGGACTCTTTCGCCCCGTACATTGAGCCGGCGCTGATTGGACTTGCTAGGTTGGTGGGAAATTCGGAATTGGACGCAGTGGATAGCATACGATCTTGCACTACCAGTCTCTCCATATTGACGGAAAGACTTGGCGCAAGAATACTACCACACATCGACACTATGGCGAGACTTGTACCTACTCTTTGGAACAGCAACGATGATCCGCAATTGCTCGGAAAGAGCTCTATTCTCACATTCGTGGCCAAGCTGGTCAGGACCGTCGAGCTTGTGCCGTATGAGCAAAACGGACCAGCGGAGAATTTGCATCACGTAGTGGAGCCCTTGGTCAGACAATCTCTCTCCAATGCAGTGCGTAGGTCGGCTTCTCCAGCATGGTGCACGTGCTGACCGTGTCTTCGCAACCCTTGATAGGACGCACTAGGTCTGATCGGTAAAGATGCTTTGAGCCTGTGGGCTAGAACACTCAGATCGACTCCTGCCATGACGCCTCCTCTCTTTGGACTCTTGGATATGTTGCCGCACCTACTCGCCTTGCCAGATTTTGCGCCGGACGCTTGCAGCATATTCGAAGAGGCGGCGATGCTCGTTCCAGTTGAGCTTTGTCTCGTGAGTGGCGTGGAGCGAATACAAGCGTGCGACGTATGTCTCTTACCTTTCTCGTGGGGCTTCACTTTCTCAGCACCATGGCCACGCCATCTTTGATGCGCTTGCGAGCATCCTGGCAGATACGGAGAGCGCCAATGTCTTGTCCCCCATCAAGGCGGTCGACACCCTGCTGCAATCTCTGCACGCTGTTGGACAAGCTGGAGATCACTGGACCTCATTAGCAGACAATTCCGGCTTCTTTGCGGCGCTCGTGGGTTCGCTTGTGCAAGTCAAGGTGCGTTGCTGCTTCCTCTTTGCCGTTGATGGTGGCCCTCTAAGCTGATTGGGCCGAGCCCGCGACATCTCTGCAGGAATCGGCAGTGATAGCAGGATACTTTGTCGCCCTGATCTCGCGCATCACTTTTCACCTTGCGCCCAAGCAGCTCGTCTCGCTGCTAGCGTCTTCTTCCGTCAGATTGTCTCATGCCAATGCGCTGGCAGATGTTGGTGCAACGCTTGTGACTCCCTTGATCGACCAGTGGTGCAGTCGCTTTGAGAACATGTCGTCGGCTAGGAGGAGGAAAATGACAGCTTTGGGACTGGCAGCCTTACTGAAGAGCGCCTGCGCCAGCGCCAGCACTTCGATCGCTCAGAGCGTCGCTAGTAAAGTGGCAGAGATGATCTCTGTATGGTCCGACTCGCTCGGAGAAATCAAGGAGAACGCTAATGGCAGGTGAGTCTGCGTGCGCGCGTGCGCACGAGTATTGAAAGGAGCGAGCGATGCTGATCCTTGTACGCTGCGCAGCTCCGACGTGTACCGCGCTCCATCACCTGCCAATTCGATAGGCATGGGTGCATTTTCAGACGATGGCGGAGACTGGTTGGAAGATCTCGCGCCGGGCTCGGCGAGAGCAACGCATCTATCAGAGAATGACCCTGCCATCAATGTGCCGCTGGCTAGCGCAGTCGCAGACGCTCTCAACGACGCTCAGAGCGTATTTGGACCTGCCTTGTTGCAAGGCATCGATCCTCTTGTACTGGACATGCTCAGAGCCGACCTCTCGAAATGAGACGCGATAGCGTGAGCGCAAAGGGGGGAACAATACGGCATCGGCATTTGCAGGATGATCAGAATGAGTGGCCAGCGCTACTTTCTCTCCTTGGTGTACAATATCAACCAAGTGAGAGAAGCTGACCAGAAAAAGATGGTCCAGCCTGCTAGAGCAGACATGTCAAAAGACAGCGCTTGAGCATCGAAGCCGAATGCCGACACTGTAGTGAATGTTTGCGCACGCATGTGCGATTAGCGAACGAGTGTGCTCGGAGAGCGTGCGACGAATGGCACTCACAGATGGTCGCGCCAGGCAGCTCGACATCAACGCCGTAGCGGTGTTCTTTGAGGGTCAAATCCTTGACCTGTACGATGAGCAGCACTTCCAATCCTGCCCTGAAAGGACTGACGCCAAAAGCTTTCTGCAACCACCAAGGTGTGGAGTTGCGATTGACCAAAAATCCGCTAGACACCATGCCGGCCAGCATGACGAGGCTTCCTACGAGGTTTGCAACGCCCTTGTCCTTGATGGAGATGCTGATAAAGAGCACCACTGCACTAACGGCCAGCGAGAAGAGCACCAACGCGGCGATAAAGGACCAGAAAGCTGCTACGGAGGGCAAGAGTCCGACGAGGAAGTAGACGATTCCTCCCAGGATGAACGGCGGGATGACGCGAAGCGGCAAGACGTCAAAGATGAGCTTGGAGAAAAAGTAGGTAATGGGAGAGTAGTAGCCGTTTGCGCGCTCCCGGACAAAGAGAGCCCTCTCCTCTGCAAACAGGCCGAGCGAAGTCAGCGTCGAGAAGCCAAAGAGGGAGAGGATAAAGAAGAAGAGGCCCAGGCGGTTTCTGCGCAGAGAGAGGGCATGGAGTGGTGAGCAAGACGCTTCGGAGACGTCACCAGCGCTGCACTCACTGGAAACCGGCAATGTCGTTTGTCACATTGGCGTATAGCAAGCCGCTCAGTACTGCGATGGAGAGAGAAAAAAAGAGAGAGAGAGAGAGAGAGAGAGAGAGAGAGAGAGAGAGAGAGAGAGAGAGAGAGAGAGAGAGAGAGAGAGAGAGA